ATATTATACTAATAGAAAATAATTACGATAACAAAAACTCCATAATGGTATGAGGTATCATATTAATTATTTTTAGAAATTGATACTAGTGATTTTACTCGTACTTTTATTTTAACAAACCATTCGTATCTAATTTATCATTATAGTTCATAAAATACTACATAAATCATAGATAATTTGTGAAAATGAAATAAAATCTTTATGAATAAGAGTAATGGAGAATTTTAAATTACTATTAATCTCGTTAATGCTTTACTTATACATGTACATTATTATGGTATAAGAAATAAAGTCTAGGGGGGAATGGATTTGGAACAAAGAGTAAGAATAAGTTAAAGTGCTTAGAAAGGGAAGAAAAAAAATGAAAAAATAAGAGGAAGTAGGGCTCGAACCCTTGCCGCAAAACACCAGACTTGGGAAATTCTCTCTTACCATTGCAGCATTGATAAGCATCTAGTATAAATGTTCAGTATTAAAAAATTTATACCAAAATTCTGGGGGTAGCATGTGCTACCCTTTGTTACTACATGGATCCGCCACTGTTTGAAAGTTATAGTAGGCCTTGAAGACTATTGAGGACTTTGTAGAGCTTAAGCTATTTCAACAAAGCCATTAATTATTTACATGAATATATGTTTGATCATTTTATTATTTGTGGGCTGTGCATAACCCAATCACTAATGAAATATTATACTTTCTAGTTTCAAGAAAAGAGATCCTTCTAGTCATGGTACAAAAGTTGTCCAGTATTACATAGTTGAACGAGAACGTATAATTACAGCAGAACTCCCAGTGTTATGCATAATGATCTACTAGAGTTTGTGTGCTAATTGTTGTTTATTTGGGGCAGATTGCTGGAAAAATAAATCAAATTATAAGAGATATGGGGCTTCGAGAACTTGGGCAGATAGAACAGGATATAGTCTTTGGAGATGCAGGAACAAAGGAGATCATCACCTTCTTAAGGGCACATCAGGTTTTTACATGCACCTTTGCTTGAATAGTCGAATCTTTATAAGAAATGGAGCATTTAGTTCTTGTATAACCTCTTCTTTTTTGTTGCTTTCACTATCCAGGATGCTTCTTCTGAGAATAAACTGCGCTTGTTGATGATTTATGCATGCGTGCACCCTGATAAGTTTGAAGGAGACAAGGCCACTAAGATAATGCAGGTAAGAGGAGATCTCCAATTGCATCATACCAGCTGTTTCTTATATAGTTACTTTCATATAACCACTTATATAATTTTCTGCGCTTTATGTTTTTGTAAGTAATGACAATTAAAAGCATTATTTGCTTTGTTGCAGTTAGCTAAGTTGTCGGCAGAGGATGTGAAAGCTGTAAAAAATATGAGAATGCTTGCTGGATCATCAATTATTAAGAAGAAAACAAGTGGAAGTTTCTCTCTAACATTTGATGGTCAGAGGGTAATATGAGTGGAGTTTGACATCTTACAAGAATTATTCAACTGACTTGCATTGTTTCTATCTATGCTAACTGTTCTTTCTTTTTCCTGATCTATCCATCACCAGAAGAAAATTGCTGCTAGAAAAGATAGAACCAATTCAGAGGAGGAAACTTGGGCATTATCCAAATTTTATCCTATGCTAGAGGTAGTTTATAAATGATACCTTACTGATTTTGTCAATTCATCCTACTTTATTTTCATCAAGCAGCTTGAATGTGCCACTTTTAATACCTTCTTGACAGTAAATGCTTATAAAATGGAATAGGAATATGTTGGATATGTTTCTTTGGGGATTGATCTCTTTTAAGTATCTCTTCCATTGCAAATGGATCATCTACTTCTGAACAAAACTACAGCATCAGCTTCACTATGTTGGATGCAGACCACACAGTGCTTTGATTTTCCATCTATCTGCTCTTTGTTATGTTATAATTAATTCATTAAAGCTTTGTTACTTGGAAATCTTCCTTTCATCTCTCTCTCTCTCTCTCTCTCTTACACACACGCGCGTGCGCTCACACCTACGCACACATGATGAATGCTCAATATTCAGGCATGATAAGACACTATAAGATCTTTAAGGACCAATGATATGCAAATGTTTCACTTGATGACTTAGTTTGACACCAGGATTTATACTGTAGTTCAACACTTGTACTTGAGTCTGATTACTGTAATAAAAAACTTGTTAAACACAATTTTTGTCATTGCATTTCATGCATAATAAAGATAAATGCATTAAACAAATTCTCTATTTTATGGGTTGAGTGGCACTTGAGCCTCATATGCTTCAATCATGTAGCAATTTATGCTTACAAAGTTGGATGGAAGAACTCCTCTTCATTTTTCTCCAGGAAACTTGAGAAATTTAAAGAAATTTTTATAATTTTCCAGGAACTCCTAGAGAATGTGCACAAAGGTGAGTTATCAAAGAGTGAATATCAATACATTAATGAGCCAACTCCAATCAACAGAGAACGCAATCAAACTCAGAGTGTTTCTGCCAGCACAACCACGACAACTGGTCCACGTTCAATGAGGTCAAGACGAACTGCAACATGGGCTCGTCCTCATAGTTCTGAAGATGGAAGCAGGTACTGCAGTTCGCATCATTCTATAAGCTCTATATTTGGCATAGGACCATGAGAGATAGAAGCAATCAGATTTTATTGATTGTAGTCTCAATTTCTGTAAATTTTTTGGTCCTTTTCAGTGACTCGGTATTGAGAAATTCGCCTAATGATTTTAAGATGTTGGGATCACGTATTTTCATATTTATCCTTGGAGGAGCTACTAGATCTGAGGTAAAATTCTTGGCTTCTTGCTTCTGGTACATTGTAACCGTTGGACTTTATTCATTTCCTGAAGATCTTTTATCACATTTTACTCAGATACGAACTTGTTACAAACTCACTACAAAACTTAGGAGGGAAATTGTACTTGGTGCAACAAGTATAGATGATCCTCCAAAATATATTACGGTACATATCTCTTGCATCTATCTTTTGGACGCATGCATAATAATGATTTATGTTATTTAAGAAGACTCTCTTGAGCTTCCCTTGGTTTATAGGGATATATTCAGGATGCAAGTATTTATGCCTTTATGGTAATACAAGGATAAAGGCATAAATACTTCGACAGCCAGTCTATAGGGAACATGCAAGTATTTATGCCTTTATGGTAATGCTTGTTCCCCCCACCCCCACCTCCTCCCAAATGTTCGTCTCTACCCAATTTTAACCAATGTAAAATCTACCATGTGAAAGACCTTTTATGTTTTTAGTATCTAATTAAAAGTTTCATAATTTTGTTTTCCCAAATTTGTATATCTCCAATTCAAAAGCTTCTTGTTATCCTTGTATACTTCCTCCGTCAAGCTATAATTTTGAAATACTACTTTGAGTTATTGAGATGTCTGGTAAAAGATCTTACTTTTACTTCAGATTGTGGGGGAGATTGAGGGTAATGGGAATGGTCCAATTGTCTCCCTTCTGTATGACCCTTTTCAGTTTCTTCATTGTTTTGCCATTGTTACTGGTTAATGCTCTCGCTAATCTGTTGATTATAAATGTTTAAATACAACCATCTTGTTTCTCTGAAGAACTCTTCTCCCTCATTAAAAAAAACTTCCTAAATTGATGTTGCATTAAGCTTTCAAGACATGCAAAATTCAACAGTTGCAAACCCACTAATTGCACATTGATTTGATTTTTTTTTTTTTTCAAGTCATTTTCAGTAGCTTTTTTTTTGTCCCCTGCAGAAGCTCAAGCAATTCACAGGAAAAGGTCTCTCTCTGGACGGCCTTAGAATTTGAGCATCTTCCTTCAGCAGTTTCAAGAAGCGACAAAGATGCTTATGTTATGAATGATCATCAATATTTTGTAGCCATTTTGTTCTGCTGCTTTCCTCCAGCAACTGTAAAAAGCGGGAGTTCTTACAGCAAAATAGCTGCTGCATCAACACTGTAGAGCTTGATTTTCAGATTAGCACAGGTAGAGAGACTAAGGATGTTAATTCTTTCTAATATTCTCTCTTCCATTTTAGTGGAAGTAAAGTACATCAGGTATTAGAAAAAATCAACATACTAGTGATGTTAAAAAACTACACTAACATTCATTGTAAGTAGGCTACTTTATTAGATAAGTGTTGTAAAACAGTATTACAATATTACATTATCAAAGATCTGTCTCTCAGGATCACCTGGTTAAGAGTGCCAGAGATCAAAACATATTTGCAGCTGTGTATGTTCTATCACACCCAATCCAACAGCAAATATGTACTGTATTATTTCAAATATATCAAAAGCATAAAGTAGAATAAACTTTCAGACACACCAATTCAATATTGACACACCAAGCTTGCCTGTAGAGATGGTGGGGGAATTCACCTAAAGATATGTATAAAGCAAACACATTGAATTGGTCAAAGTTGTGTATGTGAAATTGTTAGTGCAAAAGTCAATCTGAAACACTTAAATAAAAGACGAAAGTAGTACAAGACTGCCCCCTCCATCTCTTATTATTTGCACCATTTGACCTAAAAAGTTCTCACATAAAGTTGGCCCATGGTGCAAACAAAAAGAGATTGAAGGAGTATGAATATGAACTATAGTGGTGTACCAACACCAAATGGAGTTCCTTGCAATTATGAGGGGTTGTCAATAGCGCTAAAAGGTGATCTTCGCAAGGTCTATTGACAGTTGTGTCAAATGTTGAAGATGAGTCGTACTCACATAACTCCTCCCTTTACATTCACTTAATCCAAAAGTGTAAATTCTTCATTGTTAAACATGAATGTGAAGTCACAATTAGGTATTACTATTGAGAAACTAATATGGTTGATTAGTTAGATAAGCTTGCCATCATTAAGACAATCTAGAAAAAAATTCAGGTGATTTGAACTAAGTTGAGTAACTTGACCTTATTTAAAGATTAAAATTTCATACTTCGTAGTTTACTTAGTTTCTTTTCTTGTATTTTTAGGTAAAACTCTCGTTATGTTCAAAAAAAAAAAAATTGCTGACGTGATAATTAAGTTTCCGTAACAGCCATTAAACAAGCACCACGTGGAAACTATAGAAAAGCAACTCCACGTGGTAATCAAATCTAATATATAATTTAAGAGTTTTTTTCTCCAACTCTCATTCACAGCACTCCAAATTCCCATCCCTGCAATTCTAGCCCTCCTATTTTTTATTTTTTTTTTTTTTTGAAAAAAATAACCAATAACCACCATTGTTAGTTTGTTACTCATAACTACCCGTATCACTCAATTAAAATCTAGCCCTCTATTAAAAAAAAAAACAACATAATAACCACCCTTTAATAACTATCACTTCTATTATTTTTTTTCTCATAATATATACCATACAACATATATCCCGTGCATGACAGCATGAGCACGGGTACACTCTAGTTATTTACCAAGTACAGTACTTGTTTACCAAATTAGACATTTACTTATCACTCCCACGACACGATACCAGTGTAACGCTTAATTCGACGAACTCACCGCCATTTTTATCATTTTTCCGATCTTCAATCAAACCAACACTCAAACATTCCGGCAAACTAGGGTTTTTCGCCGGCAATCTTCCACCTTTTCCGACGAAATTTCGCGGGGAAATATGGATCCCTTACTTCCGATCATACTCCTATCATTGATTCTCGGAGCAATCATCTCGTTTCTCATCTTCGGAAATTATTTCAGGAAGCAGAAATCCGAAGTTGAAGCACTTGCGAAAGGCGAGCCTGTTAACGATACGATTTCTAAGAAGCCTTCGAAACCTACTGCTTCCAAAAAATCTCAATTTAAGCATCATTCTCATGCTTCTGATAAGGTAATTTCTAGGTTATTTTGATTTTATTTTTGTGTTGTTTGATTTTGCATTAGTTTGATTGTATGTTGTTTGATTCAGAAATTTGATTGAATTTGTGCAGGAGCAAAACAAGAAGCATCATCCATTGAATTTGAACACGTTGAAAGGTCATGGTGATTCGGTTGGTGGTCTGTGTTTTTCATCAGACGGAAAAAATTTGGTCACAGGTTATAATTGATTCTTAAACTTTGATTTGCTTGATGTTTTTCTCGAGAGTTTCATCTGTTAGATAATGGATTGCATTGAACTCGAATAGTTGTGAATTACGGTTTTTATATTATGCAGTTTTAGTAGCATTGGATACAAATTGCAGTTTTATTGTTGATGAATAATAATGTGTTTGGATAATGATAATGCAAATTGATGATGTAAAGAACTTTCAGGAACATATATACCTCCGTTACATATTATTTGCAACGATTTGACATATAGTAGAGAGGGAAAATGTCTAATCTTTGCAAATAATATGTAACGAAGGTAGTATATTCATAATTTGTGCATGTAAGCAATTTGCTGAAAGTTTGTCCTTTTTGCTGTACAATTAATTATACTTAGAGATAAGGAATTCTAATATCTACAAGCATTGAGATTGTTAATTGTGTTTTCTATTTGTTTGACATTTCATTAAGCTTACTTAGATACTGATTCAGCTTAATTAGATACTGATTCAGCTTCGGGATTATAGAATTCAATTGGGTTGTAATGTAATGCTCCTTAAGGCTGTGAAATGACGTGTCTTTCCCTATCAACCCTTAAGTATATGGCTGTGCCCTTATTTGTTGTTTGCAATTCAAGCTTCATCACTAGAAATAGGAAAGTAGACCATGATTAATCAACTGCCACTCTCTTTACTCTTCAAATTGTCCTCAGGCAGTATTGCTCACTCCTCTTTTGTTTTCCCCGTACTCTTAACTTCTTTTAGTTAGCCCTGCTTGGTTTCCCTCTTTGTGAATTAACCTTCATGAATCTTCACATATAGTTTTTCTAGTGTTTCTGTTGGACAGTTCCTCTCCTTAAGCATTCGTTTAATTTGCCAATATTAAGCATAATAACATACCTACAACTCTATTATGTCCTGTTAGGGAATCAGCAACCCTAAAACTAGGATTTGGAAAGTCATCTTAAATTGTCGCCATTATCAATTCCATCTATTACCTCATGGTTATTCCCAACTTTCCCTATTCATATGACTAGTAGAGTAAGAATTGAGTGTTCCACTTGCGTGCAATGGCTGTGATCTTTCCAAGTTTATAAAAGAAAATAAATCAGTTTTTGCAATGTTTGATTTTTGTTTGTTCTTCTGCAGCTTGTGCAGATGGTGTGGTCCGAGTTTTTAGGCTGGATGATGTTTCAAATAAAAGTTTCAAGTATGTGTCCATAAATTATTTTTTATCCCCAGATGGTTTCTATAAAGATTATTGCGGGGTTTTGAAGTTGGTTATATGTTTTTTTCATGCAGATTCTTGCGTATTAACATGCCAGCTGGAAACCATCCAACTGCTGTTGCTTTCTTAGAGGATGATTCATCAATTGTAGTAGCTACTCAAAATCTTTTGGGATCTTCAATTTATATGTATGCAGAAGAGAATGCTAAACCTTCGAGTGAAAGTAAACAAGCGAAGCTTCCTCTTCCTGAAATCAAATGGGAACATCACAAAATCCATGACAAAAATGCAATATTGAATATTTTTGGAGCTAATGCTAGATATGGCAGTGCTGATGGAAGCACTGTTATAGCTTCCTGCTCAGAAGGTATATATCTGATGTTGATGTTATAATTTAACCATATCATCACGTGTCCTGATAATCGATAAAAAATACCATTGCTTTATACTACTCATATAATGAGGTGTGTGAAGGTAAAGATGTTTTATTCCTAAGTACCCTGTCTAGACTGGTTGAGAGGTTGTTCAAAGGTATGCGGTATAAGCTCTTTTGATGATGAGAATTAATAAATTTAGAAACATGACAAGCTATGATAGTGTTGTGTGTAATAAATTGTAAATCTTTTTAATATCTATGGATTCCTCAATATAGAGTGATGTGGATATGATTCTTGCCAACCCATCCTTTTGGGAATAAGGCTGTGGTTTAGTTGTTGTTAAGATAGTAATGCAAGCAAGTGAAGCAACAAATTAAAACCTCTTAAAAATCTCTAGCTCTGTTAACTTTATTGGTGAGATACATTGCTGCTCTTTTAAAGATTTAATGATCTTAATCTCATTGATAAATGTGATTGTACCACTAGTCCAAGATTTGTGTTCATTATATGGCTAAGAAGAAACAGTGACTAAAAAAAAAAAATTTGTGAACTGTCAGTCCCACACTAGAATTTTGTTAAGAACAGAAACTCCAGTGTTCTCTGTGTGTGTGTGTGTGTGTGTGTGTGTGTGTGTGTGATGTAATTAGGGTAAACTTGGTTTGATTAGCTGAGTGTTTAGAAGTTTGTGCTGTAACTCTTATTAATTACTGAATTCTCCTTATTGCTCTACTTATCTTTTCTTCATCTTCTGCAATTATTCTGTTTATAAAGGTTATGACTAGAGCTGGTCTTCATCTAGGTCCCTCTCCCTCTGATTTTCTTGGGAATAAATTCTTTTTGTTTTTTCATTGAATTTCTTTCTGTTATAGAGGAACTAACTCTCCTCAATGCATATTTTCAGCAACTGAGATTAAGCTTTGGCATGGAAAATCCGGAAAGCTATTGGGAACAGTTGATACTAATCAACTTAAAAACCACATGGCTTCATTATCACAAAATGGACGTTTTATGGCAGCTGCAGCATTTACTGCTGATGTGAAGGTGTGCGGTTTATTAATATGCCTAATGCATACTAGCATTATGCGACTTCCATTGATAATTATCATTGTACTAGCATTTGTAGGTTAATGCACTTTTATGTTTCTCCTTCATAGGGTCAGAAGCAGCAGTTTGTCTTGCTTACTTTTTGCTATATATGTATTGAATTAAAAGTAGGTTGTTCTGTTATCTGTGTTTTAAATGCACTCAACATTTATTATAGACCGTTACTCTTCTAAATTAGCCATCATAACCCATTTTAAAAATATTTAGTGTATTTTTACAATTAACATTTACATATAAGAAATATTATACTAGTTTTTTAGTGACTATAGATCAAGAGATGTATCATTGTACTGTATACCTCTTATTTCTATATCATTGTGTGTGTGTGTGTGTGTGTGTGTGTGTGTGTGTGAAGCAAGTTGTAATTTTGTAACTCAAAGCCACGACTGCTCATGCAAATACAATGGTGTTTTGTAAAAAAATATTTAAAAATTATTTTTGTGTCCCCATATTGACTTGTATAGTTTTATTACACATATCTGTGCTCTCTAAAGGCACTAACATGTATATGTTTATGTATTGTTAGTTGGCACCTTGGCACTAACTCACTTGTTTTGTGCATCATTTTCTTTATTTTAAAATTTGTTTCATTGATCTTATGTAGCAGTTGCATTATGCAAAGAGATATGGCATATGGGGGGTTCATAGTACTTTTTCAATGCTAAAATTGCACCCTTTTTTTTTCTTCTATTATGGTGCTATCTATTCTGTTTACTTTTATTGCACTTTGGCATTATTTAGCTTATGGTCTAATTTGCCTGATCTCAAGCTCCACTATCCGAGGTTTGTCTAAGGATCTGTTCGAATTTTTTCTGCAGATTTGGGAAATCATTTACTCAAAGGATGGTTTTGTTAAGGAGGTTAACAAGGCTATGCAACTCAAGGGACACAAGGTTACTCATCATCTTTGCTTTCATACTCATTGTTTACATGACTTTACTGATTATATTGTATATCCTTTGCATTAAAGTTTACTGGGCCAATCGAGTTGGATATTTTCTAATTACATGTATTTTTGGGAAATTACAGGATTCCATTGTGTAGATATTATTATTCAGTTATTCATGGTGCTTAAAGTGTCTAAGTTTCATCTGATAAACTTTCTGTTGAAAGGCTTTGGAGATATAGTCCCGCATTTATTTGTTTATGCAATTCTCATTAGCAATTTGGTTATTGGGAGTACCTCTTTTTTTAATTTGTTTATGCAATTCTCATTAGCAAATAACAATCATTTGTTGTATTTCATACATGAAACAACTGTGTCCTTTGCTTACTTTCTTACATCTTTTATGTTCACAGAGTGCAGTTACCTGCCTATGCTTTACAGCAAACTCAGATCAAATTATAACTGCATCCAAGGATGGCACCTTAAAAGTATGGAATATTAATGGTATGTGTTTTCCTTTCTCCGAATCATGGTTAATCTCATAGATTTGAAGATAGCATATTTAATCACTAGTAAAACCATCTACTTTAATTCATGTGAGAATTGTTCCTTTTTGCTTTGTAATGAGCTGGAACATGTTATCCACTAGACCACTACAGTCCAATGTGCCATTTCAAATTAACAGTGAATTTAATTTAGTTTAAATTCTGTGGACACGAAAATCTGTGATGTGTATTGTGGACACGAAAATCTGTGATGTGTATTGTACTATTGTGTAAAGTAATTCAAAGTTTGTGAATGATAAAATTTAGTGTCATGGATGGAACTTATTTTTGAGGCAAGAATATAAGAATAAATTTTTTTAATTAATTTTTATTTTATGCTCCTGCTATACTTGTTTTCATTGGACTCAATAATATTTTATCTGTTATTGCAGTTCGCTATCATATGGATGAGGACCCCAAGATTCTAAGAGGATTTCCAATTCCTCTGCATGATTCAAAAGGAGCAACTTTGCATTATGTTCATCTTAGTTTATCTCCTGATGGAAAGATACTTGCTGCTACTCATGGCTCTACATTGCAATGGCTATGTTCTGAGACTGGAAAGGTTTTGGATACTGCTGAAAATGCTCATGACGGTAAGTCCTTTATTCAGGGGGAAGATGCAGGTTACGCAAAAGTATAGTATGAGAATTTCTTTCATTGAAATATGAAATTTACTTCGTATATCGTATGACTGTTGATGTTCACATCTTTAAAGAGCGATTTAAGTGGACAATATTTTATATGGTCATATATTCCAACATCCAAGTCTACATAAACCTACAAGTTTCTTTTGCTGCTCAAATGAATGCTTACTATATGTTCCTTGTTATTTTAGATCATCATTACTTTTGGAATAGTGAAAGCCATCTTGCTAATCTTCCATCGTCTAATACATGCTTTTGATTTTGGGACTTCTGAGCCTAGTCTCTAAAATAATTCATTATAAAGTTTGATTGGGATTCCTTCAAAAGTTAAAGTGATTCTGCTGTAGTGTACCCACTGGATGTTCCTGGAAGATGACTTGGCTATCTTTGTTAAGAGATTCTTTTGCTGTTCATGTATAGTTTCTTAACGCTAATCCCACTTGTGCAAATTGCTGCTATTGCTTATTGTATTCTGATAAGCTCACTTTTGCAAATTGTTGTTATTGTGTTCTGCTCAAGGAGGGTGATGTTATTAATATATTCTAGTGTTGTTCTGCTTTCACGCATTGCCTTGGTCTTGTTGGAGTTAAGGAGTTTGGTGGCAGTGTAAACGTGTAATATACTCTTTTGTTATTTACTTTCTTCAATGTAGGTACCAGCAATCTATGTTATTTGTTCGCTGTCAGTTTTGATTGTATTCCTTGCCTTCTTCTCTAATCCATCCTACTTGTGCTTTGTGTCTCCAGTTTTCTTTTCCTTTTCTTATCTGTGTGAGTGTCCAGTGATCACATGGTTAAGTTTTCTTTCATCATCTTGATTGCGCGCCTTTATGAACTTAATATATGAGAATCTTGCATGCAGGTGATATTACATGGATTACATGGGCACCTAAGGCCCTTCCTGTTGGTAAGTTTCATAATGTGAAATCTTTTTTAATTTCGTTCCAATAATTACTGGAGTAGCTAACTGTGTTAGCTATGTTAAGGATGATGTTTGGTTCTTGGAATTAATTCCCTTCTTCCCTCTTTTTTCAGGGAATTCTGAATCTTTCATTTTGGGGTCATCTGGAGTTGACAAGAAAGTTAAATTATGGTTGGCACCTTCTATTCCTTCATCATGAATAAGTCACATGGTATGACGCTGATGTCTGGAAAAGCATCACTGCCGTTTCTTCATAAATTTCGCGATTTTGTAGTTTACAAAATATTATACGGAGTAACAATTGATCAAACGGTATTATAACAATTGTTGTTGTAATTAGCTGTTGGGCTTTACTATGAGATAGATTGTTCAATTTTGTACAATCTCCATTTTCGAAAACTCTACTCACTTACCATGTGTTCAAAATATAATGTGTTTTATTTAAAACTCGATTCACTTTCTTCAATGTAGGTAAAATTACAAAATACATTTATTTAACGATTCACTAATGGTTTATGTAAACTTTGATATTGGCAATTAATTTTCAAGCTTCCAAGTGTGTATGGCATCTCATATATGACTGGGTAATCATGCTTAACTCATTCTTGTCATCTTGTGCTCTCTCTTCTTCTTCTATTTTCTTTTTAAGTATAAAGAAACCAATTAATAAGCTTCAGCTAATCCAACAACATACCTTAGATCCAGTAACACCCATGCATAAACAACAGCTCGATATAGCCACACCAACAAAAATTTAAGCACGAGCTTCTGTCCTGAATGCTTCCAAAGCACGGAAACGTTTTTACGCGGCTCTAAAATTGGATATGAATAAAGTTTATGATAGAGTGCGTTGGGATTTTTTAAGTCGAGTTTTACGGGCTTTTGTTTTCCGCAATATTGGGTTCATATTATTGAACAGTGTGTTACAACTGTCTCGTACCACGTTCTTGTGAATGGGAGTCTTACACCCTCCTTTCGACCACAATGTGGTCTTAGACAGGATGATCCTCTATCACCGTATCTTTTTGTGTTGTGTACTTGTGTATGGAGGTGTTGTCGGCCTCTTTTAGGCGAGCGGAAGAACATGCTTTGTTTTCTGGTATTCATGTTTCTAGGGGTGGACCTTCGATTTCTCATCTTTTCTTTGTAGATGATTCGATGTTATTTTTCCAGGTTTCGCCCCAGGCATGTGACAATGTCATGGCCATTCTTTCGGCCTTTTGCTTTGCTTCGGGTCAAATCATTAATCTTCAAAAGTCTTTTGTCAAGTTTAACCCAAATACGCCTCATGGCTACTGTAATTTTTTGGCTCGCAGTCTTTGTCTACAATCAAAAGCTTCTTTGGGTACTATCTGGGCCTTCCTGTTGACCTTGGTAGGAGTAAAGTTTCAGAATTCAGGTTTTTAATCGACAAGGTTGTTAGCCGGTTGTCTACCTTTGCTTCTCTTCGTTTGTCGACAGCAGCAAAACTGGTTATCATAAATTTGGTAGTAGTCGCATCGTTTAATCATATCTTGTAGGTTTTCAAGATACCGTTTTCTGTAGCTTCTAAACTTGACATTATGCTTGCCAGATTTTGGTGGTGATCATCTCGTTCTCGGAAGGGTTTGGCGTTGCGCTCGGCTTCTCTACTTCACTTACCCAAAGGTTTAGGGGGTTTGGGTTTGCGCAACATTTCCTGCTTTAATTCAGCCTCCTTGCTGGTATAAGGTGGAGCATGTTTTGAAATCCTCAACTTTTGGTTTCTAAGCTCATGTTTTCAAAGTACCCCTCTCTGCCTGGCACCTCGGAAGCTCGTATTTCTCGACCCTCCTGGGGTTGTTGTGGGTTACATATGGCTCTTTCGACTGTTTATTCTGGTGTACGTTGGAAAGTGGGTAGAGGTAATATGGTTCGCATTACAGCTGATGACTGGGCTCGTGGGGGTCTAGTGTCATTTAAGGATGGTTTATCTAAGTCGGATCTTCCGACTCATGTGTCTAATATAATTGATCCGCGTTCTAACGTGTGGGACTCCTCGAGAGTCAATCAGTTTTTTGATGGCCCAACTGTCGTTAGGATCTTTAGTCTAGATCGTCCGCAGGAACTTATAGATGATTTTGTGTACTAGAAATTCTCTAAGGATGTCTCCTTTTCTACGAAGTCTGCCTATGCTCTTTTATTGCAGCAGACTGTCAGGTGTCCTCCTTTAGGGTCCTTGCCTGCTCCCTGGTGGAGGAAATTATGGGCGCTTCCCCTACTTCCAAAATGTAAGATCTTTGGCTGGAAAATAATTCGGCCTGGTATTTCGATAGTCTCAGTTCTAGCTGTTCGTGGCAAATATGTGGATTCGATTTGCTGCTTCTGCCAGAGAGAGCAGATGACGGTCGACCATTTGTTTTGAGACTATGATTTCGTTGCTCCATTGTGGGTTCGTAGCACATTTCATTTCAATATCCAGGGTCTTCTTCATCTTCCCTTTCTCCAATGGTTTTCTGTTATGGTCTCGTTATTAGCAGCTGCTAAGGATTGAGAGAACCTGGTGCAATTTTCTCCCTTCTTTGGGCTATTTGGTTGTCCCGCAATAATGTAATTTCCGGCAACAAGTTGTCTCTCCCGATGATGTTTTACTTCTTGCTCTTAGTGGAAGGTGAAGGGGATGCAAGCTCAAGATTCTTACCTTTCCTCCTCTACTTTAGGTCCTAGTCCTAAGCCAGCTGGTTTGGGCTTGCTGCCACGCTTGCTGGGGACCCTACATCGGGGTTTGATATTTGTTTGATTTGTGACGGGTCTTGGTCGTCCTCCGACAACTTGGCAGGTGCTGGTTGGGTTTTTCGTGATTATGACTCTCCTTTACTCCGTGGGGGAGGGGCACATGTTTCTCTCTCTTCTTCATCCTTATAGTCTGAGTTACAGGCTTGTTTCTAGGGGTTACGTAATGCCTTTTCTCGTGGTTTTCGTAAGATTCTTATTTACTCGAACAGTGAGCCTCTGTATCTAATGTTAGCCCAACAATAGAGGGACAAGATTTCTTTATACTGGTTACTTCGAGATATCCGGGTTCTTCTGTCTACCACTACGGCTTGTAAAATTCTTAAGGTTCCTCGGAAATGGGTATCTCCTGCACACTGGTCTTTTTGAGAAATTTTAGAGGTTTTAGGGCCCGGTGTTGAAAAGTCATGAGATTTTGGGGAATACATATGAGGTCATATAATGCCGTTTGGAACCATATATGATCATTATATGTTGTCATAGATGTTCGTGGTAGGCTTGAGTTAATGAAATCAGTGCAAGTTGTAAACCGTTAAATTGGTCGTTTAAAGGCAAATTGGATGGTTCCACCCACCCAATTGGACTCCCAGAGGATAATAGGGACCCTGGTAAACATTTCGGCAATTTTTGTTTTCAGGCGAAAAAAGTCAAAAAAAATCCAAAATTGAAGGCTAAGATCCACGTTTTTGAGAAATTTTGCTAGTTTCGAGGCCTGGTGTCGAAAAGCCTTTAAAATTTAGGGGATGCATCTCGTGGTCATATAATGCCGTTTAGAACCATTTATGATCATTATATGCTGTCATAAATGTTCATGGTAGGCTTGATTTAATGAAATCGGTGCAAGTTGTGAACCGGTAAATTGGTCGTTTAAAGAAAAATTAGATAGTTCAACCCACCCAATTGGTCTCCCGGAGGGTATTAGGAACCATGGTAAAAATTTCGGCAATTTTTATTTGCGGGCGAAAAAAAAGTCAAAAAATTCAAAAATTGAAGGCTTATATCCACGCTTTTTAAGAAATTTTGAAGGTTTCGGATCACGGTGTCGAAAGGCCTTGAGATTTTAGGGAATACATCTCGGGGTCATATAATGACGTTTGGAAGTTGGAACCATATATGATCATTATATGTTGTCATAAATGTTCATGGTAGGCTTGAGTTAATGAAATCGGTGCAAGTTGTAAATCGATAAATTGGCCGTTTAAAGGAAAATTGGATGTTTTCACCCACCCAATTGGAATCCCGTAGGGTATTAGTGACCATGGTAAACATTTCGACAATTTTATTTCTGGGCGAAAAATAAGTCGAAAAATTCCAAAATTAAAGGCTAATATCCACGCTTTTTGAGAAATTTTGGAGATTTCGAGGCCTGGTGCCGAAAAGCCTCGAAAATTTAAGGGATACATGTCGGGGTCATATAATGCCGTTTGGAATCATATATAATCATTATATGTTGTCATAAATGTTCGTGGTAGGCTTGAGTTAATGAAATCGGTGCAAGTTGTATACCGGTAAATTGGTCATTTAAAGGCAAATTGGATGGTTCCATCCACCCAATTAGACTCCCAGAGGGTATTAGGGACCATAGTAAATAATTCGGCAATTTTTATTTCCGGACATAAAAAAGTCAAAAAATTCCAAAATTGAAGGCTAATATCCACACTTTTTGAGAAATTTTAAAGGTTTCGGGGCCCGGTGTCGAAAAGTCTTGAAATTCTAGGGGATACATCTCGGGGTCATATAACGCCGTTTGGAACCATATATAATCATTATATGTTGTCATAAATGTTCGTTGTAGGCTTTAATTAATGAAATCGGTGCAAGTTGTAAATCGGTAAATTGGCCATTTAAAGAGTAATTTGGTTGGTTCCACCTACCCAATTGGACCCCCAGAGGATATTAGGGACCATGGTAAACATTTTGGAAATTTTTATTTCCGGGCTAAAAAAGTCAAAAAATTAAAAAATTGAAGGCTAATATCCACGCTTTTTGAGAAATTTTGGAGTTTTCAAGGCGCGGTGTCTAAAAGTCTAGAAATTCTAGGGAATACATCTCGTGGTCATATAATATCGTTTGGACCCATATATGATCATTATTTGTTGTTATAAATGTTTGTGGTAGGCTTGAGTTAATGAAATCGGTGCAAGTTGTAAACCGGTAAATTGGTCGTTTGAAAAAAGAAAATTGGATGGTTCCACCCACCCAATTGGACTCCCAGGGGATATTAGGGACCATGGTAAACATTTCGGCAATTTTTAATTCCAAAATTGACGGCTAATATCCTTGCCTTTTTAGAAATTTCGAAGGTTTCGGGTCTTGTTGTCGAAAAGAAATACTTCCTTCGTTTTCTTTTACTTGCAACACTTCCCTAAAAAGGAAATGTCACAATACTTGCAACACACTATAAAAGGAAAGTTACTTATTTTTAGGGGGAAAAAAAAAAAGAAAGTTACTTTAGGGAAAAAAAAAACTATATTATTTCCCTTATTTAAAGCACATGACCCACTAAATTACACTCCTAACAACCACTCATCCCATTTTAAAGTGTATTATATCATGTGAACCCCACATTTCTTAAATACCGTGAAAAAGTGTGTGTGACATCTAAAAGAAAACGGAGGAAGTAAGATTTTAGAGATACTCTCGGTGTCATATAATGCCGTTTGGAACCATAACTGATCATTATATGTTGTCTTAAATGTTCATGGTAGGCTTGAGTGAATGAAATCGGTGCAAGTTGTAAACCGGCAAATTGGTCGTTTAAAGGCAAATTGGATGATTCCACCCACCAAATTGGACTCCCGGAGGGTATTAGGGACCATGGTAAACATTTCGGTAATTTTAATTTCCGGGCGAATAAATTAAAAGTTAAAAAATTCCAAAATTAAAGGCTAATTATATCCACGCTTTTTGACAAATTTCTGAAGTTTCGAGATCCAGTGTTCAAAAGGCTTAAATTTTAGGGGATACATCTCAGGGTCATATAATGTCGTTTGGAACCATATATGATCATTATATGTTGCCATAAATGTTCGTAGTAGGTTTGAGTTAATTAAATCAGTGCAAGTTGTGAACCGGTAAATTGGTTTTAGGTTATAGAGCACTTGAGCATATACCGCTGGAGTTGAACTGAATAAGGAAATTGCATCAAAAAAAATAAAAAATAAAAAAATCAGTACACGCCCACCGTGGGGCTCGAACCCACGACCACAAGGTTAAGAGCCTTGCGCTCTACCAACTGAGCTAGACGGGCTTTTAATAACAAAATCAATGTTATATTTAAATACCATATCTATAACAAACATATGGCCAATGCTTTAATTTAGTATACTACGTACTACTCATACTCTCGTAGTAATGCAGTATACTTTGTATATTTTAAAATAATTCTTGACCATCATGGGTGGTTCTAAGCATGTGTATGTTGGTTGATTGCACAACGTCCCTAAGTAGAAGGAGCTTCAAAGTTTTAAAAAAAAATAAAGAGAAAACTTGTTGATTAATGATCTAACAATCAATTTTATAAAGTTACATCACAACATACTTAATTCCAAAAACCTTTACTGTTTAATACTTTGGTGAGATGAGAGACTCTAGCAGAGCTACACTCACTTCGCATCTGGCTGTCTTTCGGGTATAGATGCTTGAAATTCCGGCATAGCTTCACATGATTCATACACCCTGCGTAATGTAGGATACTTCGACTGCACAAGCAATAACTCGTAAAATGTAAGCATTACACTGCCTAATTAGTGCATAGTCTAATAACTTGGAAATGAACATACATTACCATATCAGTCTTAAATCTGTCCATTGCTATAGAAATCTGTGGTGCCAGAAATACATCTGCCTGAAATCAAGTAAAGACGAAACAATGTGAGTGCATACATACCTCATTTTGATAAATACTTGTACGTTTTATTAGTCACTAAATATTTGTTACATTACAAATCATACAAATAATTTGATTGAATATGATGTTTTAAGTTTTTAACCCTCTTGTATCTGATTACAGTATGTTATTTACTTGGATAATATAAGGTCTATGATTAAGGTCATTGAAATATTGGATACTATACAAACCATGGATACTTCATCTCCGGTAGAATATCTTCCAGCAAAATCTTTTAGTAACTTTTCAAGAGCTGCAAAAACATATACAGCGCGTATTATTACTTCTGTTTCAGTACCTTGATTAAACAGCATACAATGAATCGCGCTAACTTAACCAAACATATTCATCAACAAAGCATACAAAGTGTTTAGCTGATTGCATTTAAAGATTATCTATTCTGTTTTTGAGCATTTCATTTAACAGAATTAATCTGAGATATTAGAAAGAACAGAACACTTGCCAGAGAAACCCTTTTCGATAACAGTTTGAGACCATGTTATACTCTCCTCTTGACCAACTTTCTTCTCGATATGCTCCTATGAAGGATATTAGTGTTCCAACAACTAGTTAATGTATATGTAGTGTATCGTTGAACACGTAATTCAGAGACAAGAAACACAACATACCAGCACTGATTTCATGTGAAGTGGTTGCATGCTGCAGCTGACAATACTGGCAGCCTATAGCAGACATAAGCTTAAAATGTTAATACCAGATTTCTGTAAACACAGAAGTAAATTACAGTGATATGAGAGCTAAAATCATAGGTTAATTTTCCTGAATCATGTTGTAATTCAGTAATTCAACCAACATTCCTTTGAATTTATCAAGAAAACTCAAAAGGCGATAGTAATCAGGATCTCACCTGAAGACTGAGAGCTCGTCTACAAGGATCAGCCGGCAAAAGTTGATTTTGAGGATACTTATCTTCTAGGTACTAAACAAAGGATGACAAGTACAGACAATAATCAATGAACAAGCCATAGTAATGTTATTGTTGAAGAAATTTTGTGATTAAGCTAAGTTGGCTATGTTGGCCTGTATAATAACACAATTCATCCCGTGTAGTGCACGAGCTAGATAATGAGCTAGTTACTGACCATAAGGATAGCCAACGAGTCTGAAACCACAACCCCATCATCAACAAGAACTGGAACATAACCAAGTGGGTTGATCTTCTCAAATTCTACAAGTCACATCATAATTGTTAATTAAGATTGTACTATCTGTGATCCAAATTGTTACTAATCATATATACATCCTTCCACACTCCAGATATGTTGGAAACACACCGCGAATATTACATCTTAGCTCATGAACCTAAGGTGAAAATAAATTGTTTGGAATACAATAGAGCAACCACTAAGCAAGAATTTACTTTCACAGTCAGTCTCAAATGCTTCATAGAAAAAGAAAAAAACATTGTGTTAACACAATTTCTCGGAAAAAAGATGGAAAGCTAAAAAAACAGGTAATTTCGATTCCAATTTTTCAGATTGATATTAATTGAAAACAATCATACTAAAATTTCCAACTTCACTAATAATGTTAATTAACATCCCATTAATAAGTAATAACTACTCCCTTCATTATATGGCTATTAAAATCGATCTTATTCATTAATTTACTAGCAGGATCAGTATCATAAAACAAAATAATTAACCAAATTGAGAGCAATATCTTGGTTTGATTTAGGCATAAGATTTTATGAAGCCTAAAAAAGTTAGTTTAGACAAAACAACAGGGTTTTTTTTACCTGGATTAAATTGCTCCCCTTTGATAAGATCAACTGCTTTATACTCAAATTGAAGCCCTACAGCTTGATCAAGCTCAGATTAGTCTAAAGTTATACTCATAATTTTCAAAATTTGCAATTTTTTTTTTTTTTTGAAACATAGATTGACTAAATTGAAATGATAAATAAGTAAAATGTTGGAGGAAAAAAAACAGAGGAAAGTAAAGATTAAACCTTTTAAGTTTAAAGCAAATCGAACGCGCCATGAACAAGAACTTAGCCAAAAAGAGTAGAGCACCCTACTTGTTGATGCTGAACATGAAGATGATTCAGTAGCTTTCATCTTTGATGATAAATATTTGACAAATTTTCAATAAAATTCCAAAAAAAAAAAAAAAAAAAAAAACAAATTACTTGTAAAAGAAAAGAAAAGAAAAGTATATGTAAAATACAAAATTGTAAAAGCTATTGATCATTCAAAGGAAAGAGAAAGAGAAAGAAAATGGGTGTGTAATGGTCCTAATTGAAGTTGCAAGAGTAGCAATGGTATTGGTAAAAGTCAACTGTCAATTCCAAGATAACAACTAATCACACAAATACAGTTATAACTTATATGGATAAAATAACAATTTTCTTTTTTAAAAGTGACATGTGACATTCAATAATGATATTAGTTGGTAATTAAAAGACAACATTATGATGAGCATGGTGTAATACTCCATTCCTCCTATTATACACAAATTCTTAAATGAACCTGGTTCACACTAATTTATTGTGAACCACTAGTATTAGAGAAAATATGGTTGTTTTGTTAATAAAAAAAAAGTCACTATAATAAAAACAAGGTTATTATGTTGAAATAAAAGTTATTTTAGTAATATATATGCTATAAGAGGTTAACTTTTTTAATGAAATATGTTATATACTGGTTAATATGAATCATAAAGGTCACTATGTTCAAATTAGGGATATAAAATCGTATTCAAATTCACAATAATATTAAACGTTATACAAGTTTTAATAAAGGTTACTATGTTAAAAATAAGGAAACTATGTTAAAAATAAGGATCACTATGTTCAATATAATGTCAGTTACGTGTGTATAAATCTCGGGTCCACAATCACACAAGTCTTTCTGCCTACTATAATGAGCATGGTATAATATTTTCTTCGTCTCACTAAAATTGTTCTATATAAAGAAAAAATCTTTCAATTAAAAAATGATTTTTTTTTAATGACATGTCTTCTTATCTTCTAAACTCTCTTGCACCTTTAAGAAATTGTAAATTTAATGGAGATTTTCTTCATTTCTTTGTTGGTCTTTGAGATTTGATCAGTTTTTTATTCAAATGTTAGGTACAGTTTTTATTGCAAAGATGCCCACCTGTTATGTTAGGAATTAGGATAACTACAAACCATTACATTCAGTCAAAAACATTTTATTTTTAAAAGAATCGTGTATGAAAACCTTGGTTTTTATAGGGTTGCTTGAAATGAGAGATTTTGCTTTAAAATGTTAGGGCATGTTCTTCTCTTTTAATTTTTTATAAAAATAACTTTTTTTTTGGTTGGGAATTGCAGGATGTTAGCTGTTTGAGTTTGTGGGCTATTCGGACAAAAAAAAGGTAAAACAAGAAAGATAGGGCGATAATTTAAACCTCAAACGTTAACAAATAAGAAGTAAATAACAACCTTCTTATGGCTTTCTTAACATCTATAAAAACATCTTCTCAAAATAAATAAATAAATAAATAATTAAAAAAAAAACTATAAAAACAATAATTTTTCTTTCAACCATCACCCCCACCACCTCTAGACCCCTCAATGTTTTAGACCCTACTACCTTTTTGGAGGATTTTCTTCTTTCCAAACATGCATTAATTTGTAATTGATACTTATTGACATTTCATTCTTTGAAAGTTATTACTTAATTTTATGTTCATAAACCATTAGCATATTGACAAATCAAAGAGTAGATGATACTAAATTTAATCATTTTTTTTTTGAAGGGAATTTAATTAATTTATTGAGATAAGGCAATAAAGTAGCTCCATTTAATACCATTATATCAAGATAAGCACAATCCAAGTATTTGTTTAGTTGACTTTTTAATAATAGAAAGGCATAAAAATGGGTGTTTGTGTATGGTAAACAAAGTTAAGTTCTATATCTTGCCAAAAAAAAAAAGGTCAACTACACTTCTCACACAAAATTCTACTTCTCAAAATCAATCAAATACGAGTAACTTTTTATTCACTTTCTAAAAAATAAAGTATAAAAACAATCAATTTTCTATCACTTTATACAACATCCTACGTTTAATATAACCAAATAACTATTAAATCCCGTTATTCCTTATCCAAAAACCAACCGAACCAAGATCAATTAAATTGTAAATCAGATTGAGTTAAATCAAAGATATGGACCCTTGTATAACATATGGAGTACTAAATGTTGTAATCGTAATTAATAATTCAAGAAAGTGCACATATATAGATAAGTAAATAGTTTACATACAAAAAGGCAAAAAAGTAGTTCAAAATGCCATAACCCGGAAGCAAAGGCACTAACACAACTTGGGCGGTCAGACCATGATCCACCAACTAACATCTAGGAACGTCCAACCAATCACAATACGAGTTTCTATATGTGGGACCCACTTTTTATGCTAAAGTTCTCATTTTTATTTTATTTTTTCTATATCTTGACTCTTTGTGCACCAATAATAGCTTCTCACTCAAAATATCTCAAGCTCCTTTTTCTTTGTTCTTAATTTTTTTTTCCACTTAATAATTTTCATTTACTTAAATTGGGAAAATTTTGCCAAAAATAAATACTTTTTATCTTTGTTTAATTTACAGAAATATTTTTAGAAATAAGAATAATGGAGGCAGAGTTCATAACCAAGTATCACACACAGCAAGAGATTGGAGCCAATCAATGTTCTTCTTCTGTCACTAAACGCATCAAAGCTCCTACTGATATTGTACTTTCTTTCTTTCTCTTTTATTTTTATTAATTTATTTTATTTTTTGTTTTTTTTGTTGTATTTAAGACAAAGAAATCTGATTGATCATAATCTGTTTTATTTTGTTCTATATTGGTGGTATAATGATTAAAGATAGGATTTTTATTTCATAGAACTATATACTATTACATGTAAATTACAATTGTATTATTTGTTAGTCCATTTTTTTGTTGCATATATGTAAATTACTCATATTTTTAGATTCCCCAAATTATCCATCAATGAAATGTCATCTTGAATCAAGCTGCTGCATTTTCTACTGATTTAGAGCATTTTCTTTGCCAAGTTTTAATTGATAAAAATCAATTTGAATCCGTAATGTATTTTAATCAATAAAAATCAGTATCAATAAGACCGTAAATATAATTTGATTTTAGTAAAAATCAGGCGAAGAGAACATGACCATGCTTTATGCCAAGCTAAGAAGTCAAAAACAATGTGCTTGACTTTTTGATGACTATATTACAATCAAAATGCAAACTTGGTAATTGATGATTCTGCATTCATTTGAACTTAATGTGCAGATTCTTGGTTGTTGCAATTTGTGTTGTTGACAAATTTGGTGATATTGTTATCAGGTTTGGTCTTTAGTGAGAAGCTTTGATCAACCCCAGAAATACAAGCCATTTATTAGTGAATGTACATCAAGAGGAGATTTTAAAGTTGGTACAGTTAGAGAAGTTAATGTTCGATCAGGACTTCCTGCAACCACCAGCACCGAAAGATTGGAGCTTCTCGACGATGAGCATCGTATATTTGGTGTCAGAATCATGGGTGGCGATCATAGATTAAGGGTATATCGACTTCTTTGTTCTTGAAATACATTGCTTTGAACATTGAACATGATATTAAAACGAATGTTATTGATCAAAAATTATGTTTACTGAGTAAAACTGAATTTTCTGTTTCACTGGTGTTTTTTCTTCTGCAGATTTCTGCAGTTTTGTTGTAAACTGATTTTTCTGATTCACTGGTGTTTTCTCTTTTGCTGTTTTTACTGATAAAGTTGATTTTGTTTCTGATTGAAAGTTGAGTTTAAGTTGAACAGAATAGAAACCTTATGATCATCATCCTGCTGGTTTGTCTACCTGCTAGATGTGATGTGGTAATAAGTTAATAACAAAGAGGATAACACTGTCTTTGTGTTTTCGCTGCAGAATTACTCATCAACAATAACAGTTCACCCAGAAACAATCGAAGGAAGGCCAGGAACATTAGTCATTGAATCATTCGTAGTTGATGTACCAGACGGAAACACCACAGAGGAGACTTATTACTTTGTTCAGTACCTTATCAACTGTAATCATAATTGCTTAGCTGATGTTTCTGAAAAGATTGCATTGCACACCAATAGCTCTGGACAGACCAACTCCGTTGAATGGTAATTTTGGATCATTTGAAGTTTCGAGGAGGCTGCTTTAGACTTGATTCTCAACTGTTGTCTCCGTTCAGTAGAAAATTATTGATTTGTTCTTTCTCATTTGAATTATGGAGTCAGTTTGTTTGATTACAACAGCTATTTCTCCAAAAAGTATGATTTATGATAACAGGCTGTTTTGGACTGTAATTGCTAGGCATTTTCATCTAAATGCGGTCATATATATGACCACCAAACAATCTTATTCATTGCAGCTATTCCAATTAGCAACTTGGTGTTTGGGTACATATGAACCAATTAAGTCGTCTACAAAGTCTATGGAGTAGGCACAACTGGACATATAGCTTGACTAAGATATGAGTTAGCTCATTATCCTCAATTTTGCATCATAACTAAAAAGGGAAGTGAGAAGACTGAGAACTGTTAACAGTCTGAAAACAGGAAGAGAGAGAAGTGCATATAACTCAATTTAACAGAATCGATTTTTCTTCAGATCTGCAAGTTTTGATATAAATTAAATATACTTCTACACTGCTATTGAGAAGCAACATGCTGATTCGATACAGACAAGTGTAACATTGACAAAGTAATACTAGATCAAGTAAACCGTCCTGCAAAGAAAAATGCCTTTTGTGAGCCTGTGATTCTGTGTAACGCTGCTCTACCGCAGTTAAGACACATTCAGCATTGTTAAGTGGAAGGATGCCCAAAGTTTGGAGCTTCTAATGCCACTTATATTTTTGGTCTTGGAACAAGTGCATCATTAATCGAACTAGAATTCAGAAGACAATTTTTAGCACAAATCTTCCTGAATCAGAGATGATTTGACAAGAACAAAGGAGCAACTTCACCCACCTGCAATCTGTCATTTAGTCACCAGCCTCTATACTATTGTTATTGGACAAACTTTCAATTTCACTCCAGGTTTGATGAAAATTTTGCCCCCATAATATATACCACAAGAAAAATTTCACAAAATAAGAGGTTTTATGTAAGTATACAAAACCATCACCTTTAGTATTCTGGCAAAAATTCAACAAGATTTCGAAAGACATTCCATAGAACATCTTGCTGGTAGCCTGGTAGACATAATCATATACTTCGTATTAAACAAAAGCAGTACACCAATTACATATCGGACTCAAAATTACATTTTACACCATCAAGAAGAGCTGTATCTCCACAGTTATGGTGGAAGCATCTCCCTTCCTCTTAAACTTTACCTAGTCTATTGCAGATAAAGAGGAGCAAGTTTGAAGTGTAGTCACACTACCTCAGTGATACTCTTTCCTAAAGGAAGGATCCTGTGAGCTAGGCAAAGAACTGCTGAAACCAGCAGCAGCAAGAGATTAAAAGGTTGAAGGATCACACTAACGAACTTAAAACACTTGTCTCCCTCACCAACATTCCCTAGGTCGGCCATCAGGGAAAACAGGGACACGCTCGTCATCATTCAGTGGCTCACGATCGAACTGCTCCTCTGATTTGCTTGCCTTGACCCTTATGTTATCATTGTCATCATCAAAATCAGGGGGAGTATCATCTTCATCAGTCCAAGAATCTTCATAATCTTCATTATCACTGTCGTTTTCATCTTCTTCATCATCACCAAACTCATCACTAGCAACATTATCAAAATCAGACCACTCTCCATCCTCTCCTTCACTAAGTTCATCTTGCTGCTTGGTAGCTTCTTCTGTTTCACCCTCACTCCTTCGAGCACCCTTATTTCGTAATCGAGGTTCATTAACAAGGGCCCGCATCTTCTCCTTGACAAGTAGCAGCCTGTCCTTGTCAACCAAGTTGGAACCTCGATATGCCTCACGAAGGAATACCGAATCCCTATCTCCTTTAAGAGACACATAAAACATATCAGGATGTCTAATCAGCATCCCTCTCAACTGTTGTGAGAACCGAAATTCCTCCCGGAAATGAGTCAAGTGGTCAACAAGAGTCCTCTTCTCAACAGTGAGGCTTAAAATCTCATGAACAACTGCACAAGCATGCTTCTCTTTCTCTGGTGTACCAGGTGATAAATGTGAAAAATCTGAATACGGAGATATATAAGGCATGTCTGTAAACTGACAAATCCTTCTCATCTCATTCTTGGACAGTTTCAAACCCTTAGGTAGCTCCACCCTATTAAACTTCAAAGGCCTATCTATAATCAAATTCTTTGATTCCAACTCTCTAGCACGATTTTCCTCTTCATCCATCTCAGCAGCTGAAACCGCGAGCTCAGGGTCCCAATGAGTCAGTTCCAAAGCCGGACCTCTATCAGTTGGGACAACCTTAAAGTACTGTGGATATCTATGACAAATTGTGTCCCTGAACTCCAAAGGAAGCCCAAGATCAGTCCTCAAATGGCCAATCTTTTCTACCAAAACCCGCTTCTCCAACGACATCATCAACAACTTCCTCAATTTAACAACCAACAATGACTCCATTTCATTCCTAATCTTCAACTCCTCAAGATACAACCTCTCAGCCTCAGGGGTCAATTTAAGATTAAGCATGTATGCCCCTTCTTCCTCAATCTCAAAGACACTAGGGAACTTCTTTAACAAGGCGATAAACCGCCTTCCTCTCTGTAATCCCAACACTCTCCTATGCTTGCCCAACTCTCTAAGAGGCATAGTTCTATTAGGGTGACTCACTAAAATCTTCCTAATTTTCAATACCAATTTCAGTTTCTTATCTCTTTGAACAACATTATCAAACGGAAGTTCTTTCCTTCTCTTAACAACAGCTCTAATTGGGCAAATTGGGACATGGGTTTTCCTATTTCTGCAAAACCCAAATTCATCTTGCCCTAAAATTAAACTTTGGCCCAAAAAAGATGAACTAAGCGATGATTTTACAGAGGAATTAAAATGGGGTTTTGGGAAAAAGATGGGATTTTTAGGGATAGTGGTTTTGCAGGATAGAAACAGTGGTATTTGAATGGATTGGGTGGTTTTGAGTGAAGGGGGAAACAGCTTAGAGTCCATTAAAAATGGCGGTTCAATATCAACAGGATATATATCAATTAATACATTTGAATGAAATTGAGGAAATGAAATTGATGAGATAAGATTATAAGAAACTTACCAGAATAATTTTGCTCCCTTTCGTTTATTTATGGAGTTTGATATGAAGGAGAATTCGAGGGTTTTGGAAGGCTAAAACCTCAGTTCTTCCTATGAACAGGCAAGTTATCTAAAATCTACACTTTACAACGATACGGAGTATTTTAGTTGATCCGCAAAAAATACTCAATAGAGCGATGTGTGCCTGTGTCAATTCGGATGTGCGGCTGAGTTCAACTCAAATAAGGTTAATTTTAATTTCCCGTCGAAATAAAAAAGGTTAATTTTAATTTAAACTTGAGTTATGCTAACTTAATTTGTCTATAAAAATTCAAATCTTTTTTTTTTTTTTTTTTTTTTTAATTTTCGGGTCAAGTCAGTCAGATAAGTTTTTGACATCTTTAAGGCTTTAAGGGTCTGTTCTCATTGACTGAACTGAACTGAATTGAGCTGAACTGAATTGAATTGAGCTGAACTGAACTGAATTGAACTAAATATTTTATAAGAGAAGGAAATTAGAGCTTAGCTGAACTGAACTGAACTGAATTTCAACGCAACAGAACAGACCCTTAGAGCTATAGAAGCCCTTTTGCTGAGGTTCCTCACCCTTTTTGTCACTAGTTGTAAATGTATAGCCTTGAGAATCCAATTTTGTGATAAAAATTTCTAGGTTTTGTGTTGATGATAATTGTTTAGTTATTAATGTATTGCGTGATAGCTCTATTTTGCTGATTAGTCGTTGTAAATTAATTATTTATATTTTTGTGAGGAATAGTTGTAAACTAATCGTGGTCAATAATCTCTAGGTGATGAATATTTGTATACATATACTTGTTCGATTAATTCACTTAATTTGTGAGTATGTATGTAATCGTAAGTAAATTATTATGGAATAACTTTGTAAGGAAAAAAAATATTACTTATAGTTTAATTGATGGGTATGGGATTAACCGATTAAGTGTAGTTTGTGAATATATGTCAATAAATTACCTTTATTGTGTTTTAAAAAAAAAATTACCTTTATAAACTACGGAGTACTTTTAAAAAAAATATATTTATATTTTTATACGAAATAGATAATGTAGATGTGACATGGACCCCCTCATATATATAACACAATATTGATAATTGAATCGGATTGATTTATATGTTCCATCCATCTTAAACTACTTTATGTTTGACTATTTACCATACAAAGACCATATGAAGAATTGATAAATAGAAAGCATAATAGACTAAATATATAATCATATATATCTATCTTTTTTATATTTCATTATATAAAATAGTATATACGTGTATAGTTATAAAAATTAAAAGCTTAGGATTATAATTTGACTTAAAAAGTCAAATAGAGGACCAAATTCACAGCTATCTAAAACTAATTAACTGATAGGATTGTTTTAGGTTTCTTCAAAAATAAAAAGATAGTATAGAGTACTATATATACATATTGCTCTATTAGCCTATTAGGGTTATTATTATTCTTCACGTTGTTAAAGAATAAAGAGTACGTCAATTTCCTTGATCTCCATTGTTTCAAATTAAAGCTACAATGGCGAAAAAATTCAAGGATATTCTAAATAGCATTATGGCTTTGTTAGGATGCGTGTCTTGTGATCATAAAAACCAGGAAAACAATACGAAGAAGAAAACTACATCGTCTTCAAAATCCGAGGAAGAAACAAAGAACGTATCAAAATCAAAGAAAGAATCAAAAATGGAGATTCCAGTGTCATCTTCATCATGGTTAACAAAGAAGATGCCACAACCTACACTACGTCGTTCAAATTCTACTTCTTTCTAAGCTAATTATGTGTGTTCAATTGTTTATCAATTTGTTGTCATTCTACACTTTTATTTAGTTTTTAATATAGATACTTTGGTTTTATTCTAAGATCGTATCTTCCAATTTGTTATTATATTCGTCACTTTATTTGTTTTTGTTTTAAGTTTAATTTGCTATGATTATTTGTTATTGTTTTGATGTATTTAGCAACGCTGGAAAATAAGTAAGGGGATTTTTGTTTAATTTAAAATCGCTACGATTCAAGTTCATACTCCATGTTAATTTAATTGTTGTTCAAGTCACTCTGTCTTGTATATTTATTTTAAATTTTTATTTACTAGTTGATCGATAAAGTTCAGTAAAAATAAGTTCAGTTCAGCAAAATTAAGGTGAATCAAACAGGACCTATGTCTCTAAGCTAAGGAAAACCTATTTGATGCAAATCTTTACTATGTCTCTAAGGAAAACCTATTTGATGCAAATCCATGATGTAAATTAATATCATGGCCCTTTCATACTAGATATATCTTAAGATATGAGAGAATATTTAGGAAATATATCATGATATTATTTTGTATTATCTTTTATTATGATAGGTTAATTATTCCCCACACTGGATGATTAGATTCCTATTCAAACCAGGTTTCTAACACTTTTTTTTTCTTTGTTTTTTATTAAAAAAAAATGAACATTATATTAGCATACAAATTAGATTAAAATAATTAATATCTTCTAATTATCTTAGAGCAACTTTAATGGTGAGCTATAACGTGTACCATATTAGAATATCAAACAACACTAGTTTCAAATTACATACTCTCACAATAATTGCATGTCTACGACACCTTAGCTTGTAGCTTGCAATAAATAGTAAAAATTAGAAGAAAAAAAATTAAATAATAAATTAAATTAAAAATAAAGAACTAAATTTGATATACAATGATACACTATGAGCCGACGCACGACGATATTAAGCAAGTAGCAGGCAGCCCATTGGGGCAACAGGTAGTAAGCAAGCTATACATTTTTCTCTCTAATGGTAAACTTGTTGATAGACTGTTAATTTACAAACCAACTATTGAAGATTCTTTTAGCATAAATACATTTTTTTAATTCAAGTAGTATGCATACATTGTATGTATAGCTGAACAATCATACTTACTTTGCCCACAATTATGTGCAACAAAAGAGTATTATTTGTGAGGTATAAAATATTCTTTTGTTGCACATAATTATGGATGGAGGAAGTATATCTCATTGTACCCGTCAAAAATATTGGATATTTCATTGTGAATGACATTTGATTTAGTTATTGTCTCATGAAAATGACACGGCGTATGATCAATTCAAGATTGAATTTCATTTACATCGTTACCCATTTACTACTTGCATTGTGGTCTTGTGGGTCTTTAAGATCAGTGTCCAATATTATTCAAAATTATCCAAATACTCCTTTCAGTTTTTTATAAGCTAGAGTTGAGATTTTACACTATTTATATGTCATCATCGACTTATTTTTTTTATCAATCTATAACAAATGTGCAAATCTAACTTTATCGCTTATAAAAAAAACAGAGAGAGTATTACTCTTCTATAAGGGTTTGTTCTCATTGAATGAACTCAGCCGAACTGAACTAAATTGAAATTAATATTTTATAAGAGAAGGAAATTAGGAGCTGAACTGAGTTAAGCTGAGCTGAGCTGAGCTGAGCTGAACTGAACTGAATTTCAACGGATAACATGCCCTAAGTTGTAGAATACTTTTTCAAAAAAGAAAAAGTTGTGTGAAGTCATTCCGTAGCTATAACAAGAATAGAGTGTTGTTTATCTTTGATTAAAAAAAAATACTAAATGAAGGTGTTTGATGTAAATAGACAAAGATGTTAGATAAAAATCACATGGTGAGGGATGAATGAGGTGTAAATAAAATAATGTAAACGGTTATTAAGAAGCCGCAATGTTATTGGAGAAATTTGAGTGTGCCCCATGTGACTCTTCCCTCTCAAAAACCCCGCTCTCACTCACTCTCTCTTTGTTTTTTTCTAGTACCGTTCACTCCCGCTATATATTGTCAATGGGACATGTTATTATATCCGAATAAACTTTAAACAAAAAAAATAAGTAAAGAGAGATTGAATAAAAAATGGTAAATTCGAAAAAAAAAATGTAAGTTTCTAAATTGTTCATAAAAAAATAAAAATATGAAGATAGATGATTGGTTAGTCCCTTCATACGTCCATCGAGTAACGAGGGTTTGATTCCTCATCCCTGTGATAGGAGGTGACCCCGTCATCTTACTTGAAAAAAGAAATTAAAACAAATATTTTAAATAATTAATTCATATTATTATATTCATAAAATGATATTCAATATGTTCATTGTCTTTAATTTGAAAACTAGTTTTTGTAAAACTTAAATATTCAATAAAAATGTTTACTGTCGTTGATTTGAAAAGTGGTCTAATTAGATATTACGAGTACATGTATATTTTTAAACACACACTCAGTTTCAAAATTAGTTTTCGATGCGCATAATTAACCTTAAATTATGTAGTCGATATAGCCTAACTCAAAAATATGTTCTTTGTTTACTTTTGGGTTTTAAAATTACATGTTTAATTGTAACAAAAAATAATGGTAAACATTACATGAGATTTTGAAAAGTAATACTCCACAAGTATATAAAACACGTATAACTAGATGCCTATGATAATATAGCTAATTTTTAAAAGTTTGACCTTAGAAAGTCAAATAGGAATCTAATTTGAAATATATTGGTAAAGTACTCTACTAAAGACTTAAAGACATTCTAATGAATTTAATGAAGCTACACATCATATTGTCTTAGGGCCTGTTTTAATTGACTGAAATGAATTGAGCTGAACTGAATATTTTATGAGATAAGGAAATTAAGAACTGAATTGAATTAAAAATAATCTAAAGAGAACATACTCTTATTTTACATGTTAGCAAGATTTTTTAGTTTAAGTTTTGCCGTTTTGGGTATGTGACAATCGGAGTATACAAACTTATGTTTTATTACTAAAGTTTAATGGTATCAATAATTTATTTATTTAGCCCTCATATTCTTCTCAAAGTTCATCATGTTTGCTTTTTTTTACATCCCACAATACGAAATTTTAAAATATACAATGTGTATATATCTTAATTACATATTTTAGGGATTTGTGTGGTATCAATTATTTTTTTTTTTTTTAAAAACGGGTTGCAAATGTGACAGGTGTTTTCGCTGATAATAAATGTCAATTTTTCCTAAAAACAAACATTAAGATCCCGTAATAAAATTCCTTGCGTATATAATCATTATTAATTTCAGCTTTTTAATTACTCGGGTATAACAATTCAACATAAGAATGAAAATAAAGAATGAAGTTGATTAGTAGAATAGCATGGCAAGAGGTTGGTACTTGTTACCACAACACAAACGTGTTATACAAGAATTAGAGTTATTCAAAAAGCTTCCCACAAAAATTAGTGCTAAGAATGCAAATTCAATTTTCATCGAAATTAAAAGATGCTAGATTAATTTCTTTATATCTACTCCAAATTTGTGTCTAACAGTCAACCTTTTGTGTTTTAAATGACTAAACCGATCAACAAAATACACGATTACCAACATAACCCCAACACTTTAAATACTCATGCCATGACATACTTAGCAATTTTCATACTTTTTCAAGGGTAATATAGTATTTTCACCCTGCATTGACCGCAAAAGACAAAGGTACGGTCAACGCCGATTTAAAAGTGTCTAATTAACTCCTCTCGTGCTACCCTTTGCCAGCTTTTTTTTACTTTACAAGTTTAATTACCAATAATTAATTTAGAAATACAAATTATTTTTTAATTTTTTTTTTTACTTTTGAATGTCTTTTTTTCTTTTCTTTTTTCTTACCTAATTTCACCATCTTACCCCTAGAAATTCAAATCCCTTTTGCCGGACTCCAAAGATCTACTCAAATTGAATTTTATTTTCGATTTTGGCAAAACCCCACAGAATTATTGTAATTAATTATTGCTACAACTATAGTTTATTTTTGGTAGCTCAAATTTAATTATTTTTTTTCTTCAATTTCCAAAGTTTTTATTTTATTTTTTATTTTTTACTATTACCAGTAGAATATTTCATTTCATTTTCATTTCACCTTCCTGCTTTCTCTCTCTTCTACTTTCTCTCTCTAACTTCTCACTAAAAACAAGCTTAGATATATTTTTATTTTTATGCAAATTATTTTATTGGGTTTGTTTGATAATTAGCTGTTATTTACTTGTTGGGTGATGATCTTCTGTCGTTTGATTCTTGGAAAGGTGTCGTTTGATGGCATTGAAGTGTAGTTGTTCTTGAACTTTGGTAAAGGTTTGATTTTTATCACTTTATTTATAGTTTGAGATGTTTATGTAGCTAATTTAGTGATTAAATCATGTACATCTTGCTTTATTACAGTGTTTAAGTTTTCATAATTTTGTTGTTTTGTTTGTAATAAAGTTATGATTTTGGGGTTAGTAAGTGATTAGTGTATGCTTTGAAATATGGGGTTTCATAACAAAAACAAATTGGTAAAGCTAATTGTACAAAATGTGGGAATTTTTAGTTGATTTATAGTTGGCATTTAGATTTATGCATGAATCTGATTTATAGTCTGAGTTAAAAAAGCATAAGAAAGTTCATGTTTTCAGTATATGTTTGCTGATTTGTATTGATTATCATGATTTTCCTTTTTTGCACAATTATTGTTAGTTGTGGATACCAACTAGCTTAGTTAGTAAGGTCTCGCCGTCTTGGGATGGTACCGATCACGTGGGATCGAATCGTGTCTACATCATACACCAAAACATGATAGTTCTTTAGTTCCACCATTTTGAAATTGCATGTGGTGTTGCTTTCATTTGCAAAAAATGAATTTGAAATGGTTTCTGTTTAGGGTTAAACTTTTAATTTACTTTGGCTTACAATTTATTCCATTGGATAGGGCATTCTTATCTAGATGTACATATACTAGTATTATACTTTGCTCAAGCTTTCTTTCTTTGATGGTTAAAGTTTGCTGTAAAAATCTAATGTCAAAGATGAGTTTGTAACTTATTTTGATGAGGTTTCTACTCTTTGGAATTGTGCATGCAGGGAAATAGGAAATAGGGCTTAATTAAGGATCATTCTAGTTTATTAAAGGCATATATTTGGATTAAATTGTAATTCTTTGGAAGAACATTTATGCATGGAGGCCAAAGAAAGTATGACGACGGGGGTGACAGTTATAGGAGCAGAAGCTCCGTCGAATTATCATATGGCATCCAGGGGTGAAGCCCCCTCTCAACCCCCAAATCAGTTAGCTATATCACCAACTGGGGTTGTTACTCCAGGAAGTACTGGCATACCGGGATTGGTGGACAAAAAGAAGAGAGGTAGGCCTCGAAAATATGGACCTGATGGTAGTGTATCAAGATCATACTCGCCAAAGACGACTTCAGTGTCAGCTCCAACTTCTGGTGGTAGTCAGCCAAGTGGGAAGCGGGGTAGGGGAAGGTCAGCCGCTTCAGAGGCCAAACAGCAGCCCAGCTTTGAGATGGTTTCTATGGGTATGTGGGTCATAATTTCGGTTATTTTGACACTCAAACACAAGCATGTGATTTATTAGTTGTAATAGGCTTGCTATATATGCTTTAACTCTTGCCTCTTAGTAGGCAAGTTCATTTACATCCATGATTCAAAGGAGGTACGGATTCCTCCCAGGTTTTAGGAAAAAAAAAGTGTGGACCTAGAGTGCTAACCCTTTTGCTTTTATTTTGATCTGGTGCCTATAAGTTTTTCATGTCATCTCATGGGTTCTACTATGGACATGGAAATTAGGCGAGCTAGACTTTAAGGTTTACTGAAAATGATGCCCTTGAGTCCCTGACACCATAAGATGCAGACATCAAGGTGCCGTGCTGTCAAATGAGAATGTTTACACTTTGATCTCTTAAAAGGTTTTCAGTATACCACTGTCAACAGGAACAATTTGCAATCCACCAAAAATTGAAAATTGTGCTCAAGAAATCAGATCAATAGAGGCCAAACACATGTTGAATTGTCAGTTGTTCTGTTATAACAAACCTTTATTAGAGAACCTTTACAGTTCAACAAGATAAACTCTCAGGATTTATTACTATCAATCAATGAGAGAGTTGCAGAAGGCAATATAATAGTTTTTCCACCTATCGTAGTTGCTAATTAGGGTTTTGCATGAGTAGGCATTTGATCCCATATGGGATTTGAAGAATGTAAGGAGGAAGACAAGAGCCTTGTCAGCCTACTCCTCCCTTCTTTAGATTTATCTTGCCCCGACATTAATCCATAATTCAGCGTGGTCTTTGACCGATTTTTTTTGCCTTAGTTTTCCAGTGGGCATGGTGGTGGGGTGGGGGGGTTTAATTCCTCATAGAGCCTCTGGTCTATGCATTCTGGTGGGCTCTTTCAAGTTACTTATCTGTAAAATCAATTGCAGGCTGTTATTGACTTGTTGGAGAAACTTTGGGATGCTGATGCATTTCTGGTTTCCTTACCCGATTTGTTTACACATTAGGTTACACTATTAAGAAAATAATATAGGTAATGCTTCTTTCTTTGAAATTCCAACTAAAGAAACAATTGCAAATTTGCAATGCTGATGCATATCTGGTTTCCTTAATCCTTGTGTTGTTTACCCATTAGGCTACACTATTATGAAAATAATATAGTTAATGCTACTTTGTTTGAACGTCTAACTAAAGAAACAATCAGAAACACCATAAATCAATTATATTAAGGCAGGGTTTGGAGGTCCTAATCTATGCAGCATTACCCCTGCTAATCCAAGACTATTTGAGAGGCCATTTTTGGATGAACAAATATACAATATTCTCTTAAGATACACTATTAGCTAGTCGTGCTCCATTCAACAGTGTTGTTTGTTGATTGGATGGAGTTACGATGCTGTTTGAGGGCATATCACCAAAGGGCAGCCTATGCTGTTTGAATTGTCTTTCTAGGTTTGTTGTACAAGATCAGCATTGAGGGGTTGAAAATCAGCTGATTTTTGATAGGATCAAAACTTGTGGAAGCCTGATGATTTTTCTTATGTACAACTTGTGAACTTGCTACTTCATTTATCTTAATCGGATCGAGTATACTACTAACATTTCAATTTTTCTAGAAATATCTTTGTTATGTTTTAATATATGAAAAAGAAGGAAATTGAACATAAATGTTTTGTTTTCTTGGCTATGCTTTGTATTCAATTTATTTATTCAATATTTGATATCTTCATACAGGCGATGGATTTGGACGCTCTGACGGAGCCAACTTCACTCCCCATGTCATAACCGTCAATGTTGGTGAGGTATGTCGTGAAAATCTAGGAATATATGTGTAATTATGTTTGAACAGGAAATATGTTAGCAACCTTAGCATTGCTTTAGTGCAGCACTGCAGCAAGTCTTTTGTGGAAGCTAAGTGGGCCCTTTGTTTTCATGAAATGCAGCCCTGTTAGTTTAAGATCAAGGGAAATAGACACTTACCTTATGTAAGTAGGCAAATGCAGTGCCCGTTTCTTAGAAGGCTTGGTATGGTATCAGTTAACTTGCATGTGGTAGCTAAATTAAACTGCTGCCAATTCCAATTTGTCTCTAATATGAAGTACCTGTTCTAGTTTTGTGCTAACTTCTCTAGGTGACTAAGGTGGTCGATAACCTTACGTCATATCTTAATGAAAAGTGCACCCTTTAGAAGCATTCAGATATCTAGTTTGAACTTCCTTGGAGAAGGGTCCATGTGTAATACTATCATTGGACATTTTTCAATTTTCTTTCCCAGAAGAGCATTTCTTTTTCATTTATATTTCAGCCACTAATGCTGAAAAACCAATAACTAAAACATGAGAAAAGACGTGCATTATGAGTCATGAACAAGATATGAGTTATATTTGGCTATTTGCTTTCACATGATTTCGTGAATGGCTTCCAATTGTATTTTGTCTGTAAGGACATTCTGAAACTCAACTGGGCCCTCTTGCAGTAAGGTAGTGATTGATAACAAACACAAATTCATGGTAATAATGCCTTGTGTATGTCATTTAGCTTTTTTTTTTTCCCCCAAAAGAAGTTAAGGCATTAATGTCAACTAGTGCCTGGTTGACATGGTCATTGAGACGGATAAGGAAAACCTATATATATGACCACATTAAGGAGGCTGAACTTGTGTGTGAGTGTGACTTTGTGAGATCCTGTATGGAGTACTGAGAAATCTCAAAAGAATAGCATTCAAATGGTAGGCCTCTTGTACCTTAGTGTTCTGTTTTTTTTGATATGCAAGCTCATTTTAAAAGCTTTTTGACTCCTGGTTTTAGGCGGCTGGGAGACTCATAACAAACTAAGAAAGGCCACAGATTTAGCCTGGAAGACTCTTTAAGGACATTAGGTGAGAGATATTAATAATAATTAGAGGAAAAGCTTCCTAATATCAAAGCATTATCCGGCTATGACCTATTTGACAATTGACTCTAAATCAACCTCAGGAAGCCTATTTCAAAGTTACTCATGGTTGTAGTCTTTCAGTGAGTTGGTGAAGACTCTCAATGGAAATACGAAGATTTATTTTCTGTGTCCAAATGGCCTTTGGGAATTTAGATGACGTTGCTTTGAATGGGGGTTGATCATGATGAAGGCCTCTAGTCATGGCCTTTTGAGCCATGCTATGAATCATCCATCAATCATTGTGTTTACCAGACTTTGTTCACGCCCCACATCATATGCCTTTTCACCTATCCTTGTTTTCATCAGGATTTCCATCTTATCTACTAATCCTACTATTTCCCCCATTTCTATATTGTTCTTGTTTTACCCTTGCAATGTATTTTCCCTATTGTTTTTTCCTTTCCTTTACATCGTTTTTGCAGTTTTATTAGCTCTTCTAAAATAGGCAGAGTACCTCCAGAATGCAAAAAGAAAAGGAGCAACATTTTCAATTATAAAAAATAAAACAAAAACTATTCCTTTACAATAAAGGGTGTAAAGTTGATATATAGATAGGGAAGTGCTGAAAATGGGCATAACGATGTGGCTTTTAAACTCAAGTTCAGAGTGAGCCTTAATAAAACCCTCAAGTATATGAAGAACAATTAGCAAGAAGAGCTAGACAATGGAAGATGAAAATGCAGAACAATGATGTATGGAATTTCAAAGTGAATATACATTGTGCATCTCATTGCATGAAGGTGCACACATACATGTATGTTTATACTACAATCGATGAATCAAGTCTTGAAAATATTTGTTACCTTCGGAGGAAGAGGGGTGGGGGTGTGGAGGAGGCTGTTGTGAGTTGTGAATAGCATAGAGCCAGACTGACAGACTGTAGGGCTGAGCATATAAACATCAGTGAGCAATTAGAAATGGAATATGGCCTGTATTGGCTGTATATATTTGGAAGAAACATAGTGAATCATGGTAGGGTATATATATTGGCACAACCGCACAGCTGGTAAAAGGCTCTTTGCCTTTTCCATAGATGCTTTGCGAGGAATATATTTGTCTGATTCCTGATCTTCGTTATGATGAGCTCCACTTCATCTTGTTGATTGAATGATTGGTTACTGGATTTTTTGTAGGATGTTACAGCAAAAATTATATCCTTTTGTCAACAAGGACCACGTGCAATTTGCATTCTTTCAGCAAATGGAATGGTATCAAATGCTACACTTCGTCAATCAGATTCTTCTGGAGGTACATTGACATATGAGGTAAATACTGAATATATATCTTTATGTATTTATTCCCTTTTTTTTTTTATACATGATCCATGAATTTCTATTGTTTATATCTATGTTAAGAAGGCAGAAAAAACTATCTTACGTTGTGAATCATGCAGGAATGAAATAATTGTTTTAGTATTGTCTCATCACCAGGGAATGAATTGCATTTTGCCAGTCAAAATCACACACATGGATGATATGCTCATTCGCATATTCTCTCTCGCACACCCCCACAATTCTTTGTGTTTTACTTTCATATTTGTATCAGTGATCAAGTTTGCCTTTTTAACTCTAGTATTTTTACTTGTCTTATTGACATATTACTCACTATGTTGCAAAAAGTAGTCAAACTATGAAAATCAACACAAATAGAATATAGAAGATAGTATTGCGTAATCTTTAATTAATTTCATTATTCACCTCCTGCATATGAAATATCCTTTTATGGTATGTCTATATTTGGAAAGTGCCTTCCAAATCTTAAGTTTACATTCAACTGATCTGTTTTCGTTATTTGTCTTAGGGACGCTTTGAGATAGTAAACTTGTGTGGATCTTTCACACCTACTGAGAGAGAAGGTACAAGGTATAGAGCAGGTGGGCTTAGTGTCTCTCTATCGAGTCCAAATGGTCAGGTTGTTGGAGGATGCGTTGCTGGATTGCTGATTGCTGCTAGCCCAGTTCAGGTAAACATTCTGCTGCCATTTGGTTTCATTGTACATGCTCTCTGCTGCATATATTTTTTGTTTTTTATTTGGTTTAAAGAGTTTGTTGGTGAAACTAATACAATTGACAACATTTCTGCTTTTTATAGTAAGGCTTGCTTTCTCAAAAAACACTGTTTCAGGCATAACAAGGCTTGCTTTCTCAAAAAACACTGTTTCAGGCATAACAAGGCTTGCTTTCTCTTTCCTGTATCAGGTCATTGTCGGGAGTTTCTTACCAACTAACCCGCCTGAGCTCAAACCAAAGAAGCCCAAAGTACAAGTACAAACACCATCTGCACCAACTCCTTTTACGATTACAACTGCCCTTCCTCCACCTAATGTTGCTGAGAAAGATTCGTGTAATGGCCAAGGGCACAATCATAATAATTCTGTAGCCCCAATGCAGAACATTACATCACTTGCATCTTATCCACGAGAAAATTGGCCGAACACACATTCTATGCAGGAACGAAGGACATCCACCACTGATATAAATATATCTTTGCCTGGAGGGTAATATATCTACCTTCCTCTTTTATCTTCTCGCTTCAATATCAGATGACATTGTTAAGATCATTTTTTATCTGTAAAAACAGTTATTTGAAATGAGGTCATCAGCAAAAATGAGTTTTAATCTGAAAAATTCATTCTTGTTCAACGAAATCTAGTGAGAATAAGCCCGTGTTATGGGTTCATCAAGTCTTATGAGCATGTTTGTCGATGCTCTTGTTATGATTTGCTGACTTTGTTGATGGTTGCAATGCAGGATGTAGGTTCTCAGCTGGTAGTCTGACTTGTATGCTAATCAGCTAATCACAGGAAGGAATATATATTAGGATGAAAAGGCGGTCTGAGTCCGGGTTTTTCCCTCACTATAATTTGTGCACATTTTCTGAAATTCGGAGCTTTGTATGGACTAACTTAGTATTGATGTTTTACATGCTATAGTTACATTAGGAAACTGGGTTTTTTTTTTAGTTTTGCAGGATTTTAGTGGGTGTGGTTCTTGTCTCTATGTTCTTTTATAGAAATCACAAGGTTGTAAGCACCTTACAATATAGGGTGAACCTTGATTACCACGTTTATCATGTTAATTTCTTGGTGTATTAGTCTTGTACTTTGTTGCATGTTCTTTCTCCTAAACATATACGCGTTAATTGTTATACCGGATAGGTGGTTGTTAATCTAGATTTGGTAAAATGCCTTACTCTTATAGATTGCTAACCCAGAAGATCATGATTCATGAAGTTACATCTGAGTGTGCTTAGATAATTGAACCGTTTAATCCACCTTTAACATTAATATTGTTCTAGCGTAATAAAATCTTCGTTAGTGTATCTAAGATATTGTACTGAAGAATGAACAACAAGAACCATCATAGCTTCATTTATATATGCTCCTCCGATAACTCTATATGTTACTGAATTCTAAGGAATTATTCACAAATCAAGTACTTAGAAGTTATTATGTTGTAATATTGTATTGGTACTACAACTTGACATCTTGTCGTATCGGTGAAACTAAAACATGATATTTAAGCAGCCTCAAGGAGTTTAAAGAGAATTAAAAATGTACAATGTCTTTTGTTGCCTTTTCGATTTCTCGTGTTAACGTGTGGGTAATAGTGTAATACTTTAGCTCATTTTGTTTATGTGTGTCTTAAAAACCATTTACTTGGGAATATAGATGTCTTAAAAACCATGGTTGCCGGTCCAACATGGAAAAAGTATGGCACAATGTGGGTATGGTGTAGGCTTAGCATGACATGACAAACATGCTAAAACCAAAGAAATTTTGCTTAGGCATGCAAACCCGACACGATGACACGTGGGCCTGGGTTGTGCATGGGCCAACCTTTTGAAAATTTCAGCCCAACACATAACTCAGGAGCCGGGCCAAGAGCCGAGTCTAACTAACCCCAAAGCACGTGGACCCGACACAAAATACGACACAACACGATCTAGAGCCATCTTTACTTGTGAATTATGGAATAATATAATCTAAGATGACAAATATACATACACAATCATATTAAGTGAAGAGTAATATTGTAATGGTAATACGTTGCGATTAAAAGAGATCGTATTTGAGTAACACTAGTAGGAAGAAACTAAACCAATTGCTTTTAGACATACGACGTAGCTCAAGGCTTGAATCTTGTGCAGAAAGAAAAGCATTTTAACAACAATTCCAAAATATTAAACGAAAAGCATAAAAAAGAAAAAAAGAATTTAAGTAGTTCAATTGAATCTCTTCCCAATCTTCATTTCTTCGCCCTAAACTCTCTCACTCACTCACTTTCTCTCTCTTCCGATCGACGATTCATCATGACGAAGCAACACGCAAATTGGTCTCCTTACGATTTCAATGGAGGGTAATTCACTTTCTCTTTCGCAATATTCTTCAATTTCCCCCTTTTTTTACCCTAATTTTTGAATTAATTTCTTGGTTTTGGGATGAATCAGAACATGTGTTGCAGTAGCTGGTTCAGATTACTGTGTGATTGCTGCTGATACTCGTATGTCAACTGGATACAACATTCTCACTCGCGATTACTCCAAGATTTGCAAGCTGTAACTTTTTTCTCTCTTTTTTTAGCTGAATTGATTTAAGTTTGTGTTACTGTTTTTGGGTATTGATTTGTTTGATTGGAGAACATGAATTGCTTTTGTTGATTGGTATGATGAGGAATGTCATTGATTAGTATAATTAGCTGTTTGATGATTAGGGTTTTAGTATGATGCTTGTTAAAGTGAATAAATTGATTAGGGGATGGCCATTTCTTGCTTAAGGAATGAAAAAGGGCTTGAAAGTGGAATAATTGTTCCATTTTGTTGGAATTACTCTAGACCTTTTTAGGTTTTAGTGGCTTGTTTGTTTATGGTGAATTATGTTTTTATATTTCCATAGTTCTGATTTTGATTGTTCCGTCGTAAGTGAGTTGTTTAGAGGATTAGTTAAGTTTCACTTGCTCGCTGCTATTGGCATTTTGTTGAGATGAGGTGTGCATTTGTGAACAATGTATTTGCTTAGCAATCATAATAGAAAGAGGAGGTAGAGGAAGGAGTGAGCTTGCTTTTGCCTTCCAATATTTTCTAAAAGATTACCGGGGTTGTGTTTACATACCTTTATCATGCGCAAAAAAAATGTAGATTTTGAAAAAATGGCCTCATCCAATCGTGTGGTGTTGATTCATTCTTCTGCGGATGTATTGGAGAAGGAATTAATGGGACATAATTTGTTCAGTTGCTTCTCCTGATAAATATATTCATCAATGTGCATGCCTTTACTTCAACACTGAAAGATAGATCTGATGGATTTCTATTGCTTTTAATTTGATTCCCCTCTCCTCTCCCCAATCGCATCTTTTATGTCTTCTGAGTCCTGTTTCCATTGACCTTGCAGGGCTGAAAAAAGTGTATTGGCTTCATCTGGGTTTCAAGCTGATGTGAGAGCCTTACAAAAGCATTTAGAAGCAAGGCACCTGGTAAGGTTTTCAAAGCTTTTTTTTTTCTCTTCTTACAAATGGAACTTATTGAGTTCTTATATGGTGACTGTCAACTTTGCTCTCGCTGCTCAATATTTGATTGCATACTTTTGTTTTCTTTTTGCTGATGAACATGCCTTTATGTTTCTTCCAAAATGTTGAAATGCATATGTATTGAATTTTGCTACTTAACTCTTGTCGTACTCTCAAGGGAAAATTGATCTTCATTAATATTATTGTTAGGTAATGACAATTATGGGCTGTAGACACTAGATTGATTGAAATATCTTTAGCTAAGATATGTCAGAGAAGGCCTAGTTAAACTCTGAAATGGTTTCTATTATGATTTTTTCTATTGGATTTCACATGGAAGCACGGTAATTTTGGTGGTTGCAATCATTCAATGGAGCCAGTAGTATCCTTCCTTGAAAATAAAGAATAAATAAAGGCTGCCCCATAGTTTTAATCCTGATCCTATCTAATTTGTTTTATATATTGCCTGTTTAGGATTCTACTTTAGATAGTTACAACAGAGTTTGATATACACTGGATTACTATTGTGGTAATAGAGAGGCTATTTCTGGTGGACCCATACATTCATTATAAAGAGAGTTACAAAGAGATTTTGATGTACACGACCTATTGCTACATTCTCATAAGAAAAAAGCTAGCAAATTTCACGAGCCATTTTATTTTAGTCTATATTCTATTACAAAAGAAAATTCGAGGAATGGTGATCTTTTTCTCAAATGGAAATGGACCAATATTCCAATAGATTTTTGTATAAAGACTGTCACTCTCACTACCCTTAATTTTGATATTGAGCTTGTTAGCATCGCTATGGATAGGTAAATGGAGTATATCTTATAATATCTAATGTCAGGTTGATCTATGAATTTATTACTGGTATGTAATAAACTGAATATGAAGTAGAAATGAACTGAATGATATCTGATGTTCAAAAAACTGAATGTTCTTATTAGACTTGGTTTCTTTATTAAACTTTCTTCTGTCTGTGCCCCAGATCTATCAACATCAACACAACAAGCAGATGAGCTGCCCTGCTATGGCTCAGCTCCTTTCAAACACACTCTATTATAAACGTTTCTTCCCTTACTACGCTTTCAATGTATTGGGTGGCCTTGACAGTGAAGGTAGCTCAAAAATCATTATTTTCTTTTGCTCCTTTATGTTCTAAGTCTTTAATTTACTGAAACCAAAAAAATAAAAATGTTACCTAATGAAAAATATGGTAACTATGCGCCTTACTTGTTTAATGCTTCAGGCAAGGGGTGTGTATTTACATATGATGCGGTGGGCTCATATGAGAAGGTTGGATACAGCTCCCAGGGTTCTGGTGCGAAGCTTATCATGCCTTTCCTGGACAACCAGTTGAAGTCTCCTAGTCCCCTCTTACTACCGGCACAGGTATGTCATTGACTTTGCAGGGTATCTGCAGAAAGTTCTCTATTTTCTCTGTACTTTCTGCCCCTTTCAAGTGGCAACTTAGCTGACTAGAAACACTGGCTTATGCAGGATGCTGTGACGCCATTGTCAGAATTAGAAGCAATAGATTTGGTGAGAACTGCTTTTGCATCTGCAACTGAGAGGGACATTTACACTGTAAGTTTTTACTTGTCAATTTTATATTGTTTTCTTCATAAAATTCTGAAGTGCCTTGTGTTTCATTCTTGTGGGGGACGACTCTCAAAATGCTTTAAGAGTTTCAGATTTAAATCACCTCTTCTAATATTTTTGAACTTCTGCCTGGAGATTTTTTTCTTTCCTGCCTTTTTAAGAAGAGAGGCAGTTGACATACACCTAGTTTCCAGTCATGGAGGGATAGTCTATCTAGTTGAAGTTTTAGTTCCAGTAGTCTAGCTATCCTGTTAGAGGTCGTCTAATGGGAGTCGGGCTATGGGCTCTTCAAAAGATCTAGCTTTACTTATCACCTCTCCTAATATTTTTGAACTTCTGCCTGGAGTTTCAAATCATGATATTCTGTTATAGTAGCAGTGGTAGAATGACTTTCTGCCAAAGAATACCATTGAAAGTATATTACCCCTGGATGTAAACAGTGCTTTTTGCTTACATATCCACCCCCTTCCCTGGTACCGCCTTAGAGAAATAGTCCGAAGTTAGCTATGTTTGGACTGCAGGAGTGCTGATGGAAAATTGGGATCTATGCAGTTTGCTTCAGTAGTCTGTACTGACTGTAATTTTTGTTTGGGCAGGGTGACAAGCTGGAAATAGTGGTTCTCAACAAGGAAGGTCTTCGTCGAGAGTACATGGAACTCAGAGAAGATTAAGCTGTATTCCAATATTGTCATTATTACATTGAGTTGTTTTGTTGATGACATTGAAGCATTGTTGGTGAAAACATAATTGTAGCAGAAGATGATGATAAGTTTGGAACAGACTCTTTTCTTGTTATCTGAAACCGTAGTTGGAACTAGCTTTGCAAGGAAATATTATGCGTACAATTAAAATTATTTCCATGTGCTCTTTTGGGCTATTCCTTTCCGATAATTTGAAAGCTGCTTTAATCTTATGTTATGCACGTTAACTTTTGATATCTGTAGAACGGAACATAGAGAAAGGTGTGCAAGTGCAATGGATTATATACAGCGCATGTTCAAGAATGATTGTTTACCAACTCTTCTCTGAAATCCATATTGGTATTAGGAACATACACGGTCACTTGGCAGAGCGAGCAAGTACAGTGACATGGGGTCTGGCCTTAGGCCTAGTTTGAAATTTTGCAAATCAATCGTTTCCATCAAATGTTCTGCTATAACATTGCCATTCCTGTCCAACAGCCCCATTTTCCACACGTTTTTTTCTGTTTCCTTGGGGGAGGGCGGATTTGGCGATTTGCTTCTGTTTCTTGACACTCCGTGGTTCCCCAAACAATGGCACTTATAATTTTATAAACCTAGACATGTTTAACCTTTCCTTGAAGGAGCAATTACAACCCAATCTAAGCAAACACCATTATTTATAAAACTTATAGCTGAGTGTTATTGGGGTGTGTGTTGATTGTTGAAAGCCAGTTGCAAACTTCATCAACAAGAAGGTATAATCCAATATCTTTAGTTAGAAATGTCAAATAAAATGAAACGTAACTCCCAAGTTTGTAGTTATATGGTATATCTCCCTGTAAGAATAGATTCAAAGCAATTAAGTATAATGGTTATATATGAAGTACTACGTTTATAATTTGTGTAGCCATCCTATTATTTTTTACAAAAATATTTTGAACACTCGTATATGCAATATACTATATTCTTAACTATTTAAAGGTAAATCCTGGAATTGATTCTCTCACCCCCATCCTTTGTGGCTCTCTAAACACTGACAAAAACTATTTTTTTTCATGTTAGAAATCTCTACTTTCCTAATATATACTTGGTGATATTTTCTTTTTTTATTTTTTGTATTCCTATACCCGCCACATCATCATTCTTAACCAACACATCATCTTACCACATAAAATTCATGACACTTTTTTGTGGCATATTATGACCTTTAACATATTCCGTACAAGTATATTAGAATATTACAACATACTTCCTCTGTTCTTTTTTACTTAACCTGTTTCTTTTATCGCGCTTGCCAATGTAAAGCTTTAACAATCAATAACTTAAATTTTCCATAAGTAAAAATTATAAAAGTTATATATTATGATAATAATTATTGAGATGAATCTAAAAAGATCATACATGAATATATTTTTCCTTACATATTATTCACAAAAGACGGTCAAAGTAAGGGTGATGAATAGTGTAAAAGTCAAAGCGGGTCAAATAATAAAGAACGGAGGAAGTAGTATCATACTATCATCTTTAATTCTATATCAAGATTACACTTAATTGCAAAATCAATCACTATCAATTACACAGATTTCTAGACATAATTTAAGGCAAAAGGAGTATGTAAAATTATTTACAGTACATAAATTATATGCTTACACTCCCTCAAAGAATGCTTAGGAATGAAGGATATAGTGGTATTGACCTCAGTACTCGCACTCTTTTTGTCCTTACATAAGATTCAACCATGTTTTCTGAATATTTTTTCATGAATGAGTAAAATGATATCCTTAACATGTTATGAACTTCATTAACGTAATCCCAAAGTTCCCTCATAGAACTGTGTGGCAATAAGACCTGAACTCAGTTGACTTCTACCAAAGTTCTATCCTTACTGAAACTTGTCCTTCAAAGTTCAAACCCTTGATTATGGAGACAATGGTTTTCAGATATTGTCAGTAGTATTTCTGCATTGTTGTTGCAGCTGCTCTAGGCTTCTTATTGCTGCGCTTTTCGCTGCCTGACTTTGCGTATATCTCATCCTATGCAAATGCTATCAGGCAGCCTGTAGATGCAGGAAAACTCAAGTCTAGTTGGAAATCTCAACAGCAAGATCCTTGCTTGGGTCGTTACATATACATGCATGATCTCCCTTCCAGATTTAACCAAGACTTGGTTACAAAATGTCAGACACTCAGAAAACAGTTCAACTTATGCCCATATGTGGAAAATGGAGGTTTTGGTACTCAGCTGAAGCTTAACGCCAGTTCAGAGGATTCTGAAAGTGTTATGTCAGGGGAAAGTTGGTAAGCAACTACGCAGTTTATCTTGGAGATGATATTCCACAGTAGGATGAAGCAATACGAGTGCTAGCCTCGGCTATCTATGCACCCTTTTACCCTGGGCTAGAGGTAACCCGGCATCTATGGGGAGGGTTTAGCTCATCAATCAAGGACGCGGGAGCATTGGATTTTACAAACTGGCTAAGGGGAAGACCTGAGTGGGAACGCATGTTTGGTTGGGATCACTTCTTTGTTTCTGGGAGGGTCACTTGGGATTTTAGGAGGCCGACCTACATTGGTCCCAACTGGGGTAGCAAGCTCATGAATTTGCCCGAAACCAAGAACATGACCATGGTATCAGTAGAAGCAAGCCCCTACGCCAACAATGATTTTGCAGTTCCATACCCAACAGATTTCCACCCCTCAAATGACAGTGAGGTATTACAGTGGCAGGAAAAAGTTAGGAAGACAAGAAGAGCTCACCTTTTTGCGTTTGCAGGGGCAACACGCTCTTATAAAGGCTCAATCCGAGGGGAGCTTATCCGTCAATGTAAGAATGCACCAGGAAATCAATGCAAATTGGTTAGCTGCGTTCCGAAAAATAAAGCCAATTGCAACAACCCTGCAAATATTATCAAGGCATTTTTGATGTCTGATTTCTGCCTGCAGCCTACAGGGGATTCAGACACAAGGCGTTCCACTTTTGATGCCATCTTGACTGGTTGTATTCCTGTTTTCTTTCATCCAGGATCAGATTACACACAATATTTTTGGCATTTGCCTAAGAATTACACAAGCTATTCGGTTTTCATACCAATGGAGGGGATACAAAATGGGATGGTTCATGTTGAGGAGGTTCTGCATCAGATTTCTCAAGATGTCGTGACAGCTATGAGAGAGAAGGTAATAGGGCTGATTCCAAGTATCATATATGCGCGCTATAAGTTGAAAATTGAAGATGCATTTGATATCACTGTCAAGGGAGTCCTCAAGAGAATTGAGGATGTTAGGAGACAAATTCATGAAGGGAAGGACCCAAGAAGCAGGTTCCCAGAGGAGTTGACTTGGAAACATTACTTGACAGGAAAACTCGAAAATCATGAGTGGGATTCTTTCTTCAGAAGCAAGCAGTGAAGTCGGAGTCCAGATGAGGGTATATAATCAAATTTACTTTGTAATATTTCTGGCCCATTTCTTTTCAATAATCTCTATTTTACTATAGCAGTTGATTTGTAAGAGATAATGTAATCCCTACAAATCTAATAAGGCTTTATGAGCCACGGTTAATAAGTAATCTCCGAAGCCAGTCCTTTGTCGAATTTTTTCCAGCTCTTGCCTTTATGCCTAGTTGCCCACAGTCACCACTATTTAATCAAAACTGCTATCATATGCGATCTGAAACAGCTCACCTTCTGTGTGTGTGTGTGTGTTTTTTTTTTTTTTTTTTTTTCTCTCTCTTTTTTTTTTTTTCTCTATTGAGACCCAAAAGGTTCCGAAACAAGATGCAGCACAATACTTCAACATGAGACCTATTGGCCAGTGGACACAAAAACTCGATAATCATCTAAACGTCACACAGGACTGAAGATTCAGATTTGTAGAACTGAGGAAGAAGTAAATTTGGGGGAAATTCATAAATGGTTGTATAGCAATGCAATTACATCATCAATACGGAGATCAAAACTCCAGGCCTTCGGGTGGCTGGACACTCCCTAAACAAAGTCAAATAAATCACAGCCAATTCCTGCTTATCTCCTTCCTAGCTGATCACCCTATACATAACCTTCCGACTTCTTTCCTTCTGACAAACACATTGCTCCCATACCGAAGCTAACTCCAACTGATTTATTGGCATTACCTAGAGTCCCATCTGCTATACCTGATGCACTACAATCAAGCTCATGAATTCCGAAGTCAAGAACATGATGTTGCAAACAGTAGATTCGAGCCCTTAAGCCAACAATGATTTTGTGGAGCCATACCCAACTTATTTTCAACCCCCCCCCCCCCCCAATAACAATGAGGAGTTACAGTGGCATAAGGGGTGAGAAGGACGAGAAGAGCTCTTTTTTCACTTCCAGGGGCCACACATTCATATGTAATATGTCCGAAGGGAGCATATCAATCAGTGCAAGAATGCCTCAGAAAATCATTGCAAACCAGTAACTGCAACAACCCACATCATATCATCAAGGCATATGTGAATATATGATGTCTAATTTCTGTCAGCAACCCCCTGCAGATTTAGACACAAGGTGTTCCACTTTTCATTCAAATTTTGGCAGGTTGTATTCCTGTTTTCTTTCTCCCAAGATCAGTTGTATTACAGTAAATACTTCTGGCACTTGTCTATGCTACACCAACTATTCAGTTATCATGCATAATGATGGAGAGGCATAAAAAAAAAATTGGGACTGTAAGTGTTGAAGAGGTTCTGCAGCAATCTTTAAGGATGCTGTGACAACTAGCTATGAGAGAGGAGGTATTGAGGCTGATTTCAAGTATCATATATGCACGGCATAAGTTGGAACAATAGATGATGCATTTGATTTTGCTATCAGGGGAGTTCTCCAGAGGACTCAGTTTTTAGAAAACAAATACAGGTTGGAAAGAACCCGAGAAGCAGGTTCCATTAGAGTCAGTTTGGAAGTATTACTTGGGCATTTTTATTCTTTAATACTTCCTGATTGTTCGTAAAGGGAAATGGAATCGAATCACTAATAGAAGAACTGAATCTCCCACATACATTGAGACTTCATAAACTATGGCTAGTAAGTATTTTCTGAAGCCCATCCTTTCTTCTCCAGCTCTTGCCTTAAAGCCTGCATCAACAACCATTCATCAAGAAACATCCTGAAGTGCAAGATCAACTAAATCAAAACTAAAATGAAATCTGAAACTAACTACACAATGATATGAATTTTCACCTTGATTCTTTTTCGATTCATATCAAAATCAAAACTCCCTAAACGAGATGCAGAACGATACTGCACAATTGACTTCTTCCCCGAAGGAAACCAGAACTCCACATCATCAACAAACTACACAATAAAAGCACATGTACTCAAGTCAATTTCTGTTTCCATTCTTAGATTATTTAGCAATTCTACATAATTCTGCTAATAACCTACCCCCATTATGGGACTTTCATATTCCACACGCACATAATCGTCTTTCTTCTCCATGATCCGGGGTGTGAAATTCTCCGGTTTTGTTGATTCAATCTGCAAATATAGTGATCAATCTGATCATTAGTTAATTTACCAAGAAAAACACCAGCAGTTTTTCATGGACTGTTTAGTAAAGAAACCTTACAACTGCAAGAAGCTCCTGCATTGCCACTTCTCTACTCACAGGTTTCTTGCTCCCTCTCCCTTCTTCAGGGTTGTAGTTCCTGTTAGTTGCATAAAATAAAAATTCCCATTATTAAAATCCAACCAAAAAACCTAGGAGAAAAACTCTTTGCTACATTAACATATCCTTGAATGTCTTACTAATCAACCAAACTGCACCAAAGCTACCAACTTTCTCAAATCTTATGACACTCCTACCCCGCTACCTGTACAAATAAATTTAATTTTACATTCCTACTTGTAATAGTAATAAAACTCATGTGGGTTACAATCTAGGGCAATAATTGTGCTTTAGAAATCACCACGTACTTGACTACCAATTCAGTTGTCACGTAACTAGTTCAAGTTATAATGTCAATGCGTCCAAAATCAATTGTCACATAATTAGTTCAAGTTATAAAGTCAATGCGACAACTAATTCTTGACAAAGGGAATAATTTACAAGCTAGACTAACCCAAAGTCCCAAACCTACACTATATATTGTGCAAATATGTAAAGACCCCCCAAAAATTGCAATGTGTAAGATAATTCAGCTCAAAGATGAAACTCAAAAATTGCAAGAAATCTAAAAAAAAAATCGAAAATCAAACTTACCAAGGAGGGGCATAATGGGAAGTGTCAGATGAGTTTTCAGAAGTGGAAAGACAATTTTTAGTTGCAGGGCATAAGGCCAATGAAGGTGGATTCTTTTGCACTCCCAAATATTCTGGTTTTGTTCCACTGTTCAATTTTTAGAACCAACAAATTTTCATTAAAGCATGAATTTAAATCTGAGAATCAATTTGAAATACAAAGTATAAGCAGATAATTAGAGAATAAATTTTGAGGATTAAAAAAAAAACAACCTGAAATGGAAGATTGCTGCAAGTGTAGCAAATTCACTGCTTCTTAGTATGATTTCCCTTCTATTAATTTGGGCATTGGGTTTTATTTGTTGTTGTTGTTGACAAGAAAGGATGCTGAGATTTAGAGAGGGGTTTATAAAATGATGGGTGTTTTGTTGTTTAATGATGTTTTTGTTGGTGAAATGGTAGCTGATTGAATGTGCCATTGTTTTTAAGCTTTAAGCTGCTTTCTTGGTGTGTGTCTCTCTCTCTTTGAGAAGTTTGTGTTGTTGAGATCATTTGGAGTTTGGGTTGTTTTGGTGGGTGAATAAAGGCCCAAAGACCTTTGCCGAAAGAAGCATGTAAATAAGGCTCGTATCGTTTTGATTTGACACGTTGAAAAGAATATACCCTCTCTGTTACGTATTAATATCGGGTATTTTAAATAATACTAATGTCGAAGGGACTCAAGACTCGGTAATTGAGTAATACTTTAATTTTTTATTTTTTTTAATGGTTGATTATGATAAAAATAATAAAGCAATTATTGGAAGCTATAATATCTTCCACCACAATTGAAAAGTTCGCTACCCATACTTAAATTTTTGTTTCCATAAAATTAAGGAAATTTTGATTTTTACCACCTTCAAATAACGACTTTGTCGAATTTACCACCTTCAAAAAAAAAACATTTACTTTACCACCTCATAAAAAAATTAAACATCAGTTTTACCACCAATCACCTCCAACTAACGGATTCCGTCCAAAAATCCGTTAGTGGGGCCAACCTTGCACACGTGTCGCCATATTATTGGTTAAGTTTTAAAAAAATAAATAAAAAAACAAAATAAAAACTAAAAAATCCCCATCAAGCAACCGATGGTTGCTGCCACCGTCGAGACCCCACCGCCGGACCGGCTACGACCAGCCCCACCACCTAACCGTTACAACCAGCCCCCACCACCTAACCGCTACCAGCCACCGTCGAGACCCACAGCCACCGCACCGATTTTGACCTCAAAACCCTAGCCACCACCTAACAGCTACGACCAACCCCACCACCTAACCGCTACCACCGCACCGCACACCACAGCCGCGCCGATTTCGACCCCCTTTCCACCAATTTCCGACCTCAAAACCCTAGTCAACACCTAATAGCTACGACCAACCCACCACCTAATCGCTACCACCGCACCGATTTCTACCCCTTTCCACCAATTTCCGACCTCAAAACCCTAGCCACCACCTAACAGCTACGACCAACCCCACCACCATCCAAACCCAGACCAGAAACAACCGCCACCCAGACGCGAAACCACCCCGACTCAAAACCACCACCACCCACCAGAAACCACGCCAGCCAGACGCGAAACCATCGCGACTCGAAACCACCACCACCCAGACGCGAAACCCACACGAAATTCCGACCAACCGAGGTAGTTGATTTCGTTGCTGGTTGGTTGACATGGAAGATCGGGGAAGATGAAGAAGAAACGTCAAAAATGTGGGCCCTACTAACGGATTCATGGACGGAATCTGGTAGTTGGTGGTAAAATCGATTTTTTGGAAATTTTGGTGGTGGTAAAGTAAATCTTTTTTTTTTGGAGGTGGTAAATTCAATTAAGTGGTTATTTGAAGGTGGTAAAAATCAAAATTTTCTAAAATTAAAATATGATACTACTTTCGTTTCATTTTATTTTCAACGATCTAACATAAAGTAAAAAAAAAAAAGACATAATCATTACAAATAATATAAAATAAAGGTAGTACTCAATAATTGTCAACCCAAACAAGCCCAAGATATTGAGCTTGACTAGTCGAAAACTCGAAATAATGTGACTTCTAATTCTGAACGAGCTACTACCATCTTTTAAAATGTGGGACATAATTGGAACTTGCAAAGTTTTGCCCAGGTAGCGGCAAAATTCTGAGAAAAGTGTAGTTTCTCTAAAAGTCTCCGTATTTTCATGGCACATTGAAGCGTCTTCAGCAATCTTTCTCATTTCCTCAATTAACATTTCTGAAATTCTCTCTCTTTTCTCAATCAACAATGGCTCGCAACAAGGTAATTTCTTTCCATTTACTTTTCATTTTCAATTTTGACGATTTTAAGGGTTTTTGTTGCTGTTTTTAGTACTCGTAGTAGTTTTTTCATCATAAAATTTACTGAATTTCATTATTATGTACTTTTAATATACACTTTTCAAGCTATTTTTAAGCTTTCATTTTAATTTTTAAGGTGAATATTGTTTAATTTTGTGAATGAATTGCTGAAAACTTAAAATATAGCGAATTTGAGGTTTTGTAATTAATTTAATTTGTTGCTAGAATGTGCTATAATTTTGGTACGAAAAATATGCTAATTTTGGTTTTTACTTTTAAAATTTGAAATTTGACGATGCCGTTTTATGGAGTTTATGCCCTAGTTAGGTTGAATTGACTTAACATAAGCTCAAAGTTGTTTGCTTGATTTTATTTAGAGGGTAGGATGGATTTAGGCATGTTGTTATGTGAGGTTTGTTTGTTTCATCTGTTAGAGGACTGAGAAATTGAACATTCGTGTTACCCGAATTATACCGGATTGTCATGATGTGTTCCCTAACCCGGAAATTAAAAGCTGAATATAACATTGTTCATATTGATTATGAACTGAATGGGATGTAGTGATGCTTTTAGGGAGGTTGACTCATGTGTTCGCGGTGAGCAAGACACATTGGATATGGAGAAAGTATCTTATAGGTGACTACTGGGAGATGTTTAGCATTTCTTATGAGTACAAAGGCGTAAATTTTAGGAAGAATCACATTTTTTCCCCAGTTCTCGCCGGTCTAATTCTCTGATACAAGATGGGAAAATACAATGTAGTTATTGTCAATGCTTTGGTCAGTTTGGTGTGAGAGGAAGTAGTTTAGACAGCGTTACATAATATTTGGATTTGCTAGCTACCGATAATGCTTTCATGATTAAACAATTGTTTACCTTTTCGATGACAGGAATCACTGGTCCTATTGCTTGATGTTGGTCCAAAAATGCATGGTGTTCTTCCACAAGTTGAGAAAGTTTGTGCCATGCTTTTGGAGAAGAAGGTTGATATGTCATTACTTTACACTCTTCCATCACCCCCTTTTAGGCTTTTACTATTCAAAGGATTTTCCTGTATCTTAATGTTTTGTTGTACATTCTCCAATTAATGATCATGCTTTTGGAATCCTGTAAACTGACTATTATTGAATGGAATAATATAGTACCGAACCATGGTCTGAAGTCTTAATTTACCGTGTCTGCAGCTGATTTATAACAAATATGATGAAGTGGGAATTGTCTTATTTGGAACTGCAGGTATCTTATCTTGCACTTTCTTGTTTTACATTTTTTTTTTTTTTTAAACTTCTGCATAGTAGATTAGTACATACCACACCTGTGATCTTAAAGGTGAGCTGTTTTCTACAGGTAAGGTGTGATTTGAAATATCCTCAGATGATAAAAGAGAAATATTCTGGAAAATTTTTATATTGTCTCATCACGCTCATTTTATGCAGTAGTTCATGCTCGTGTGAATGTTATTTGTTTATTGCCCCTTAACTTCTGGTTTAGGTACTCTACACATCTTATATGTACCACCTTACTTTGCATCCTTTTTCTTGTTTGCTCCGTTATAGTAGACTATTCAATGCTTTTTTGGGCCAAGTCTATTAGAAACATCTTTGCAATAGTACAGCAATACTATGTCCATTTGACATTCTCTACCTTATCCTAGCCCCCTAAGTGAGAGATTCCTTTTGGGTATCGGGCCAATAGTCTGTTTTGAATTATGGCCACAACACACATGGCCTATATAGGAATATCTATCTTGATTTCATTGCAAGCTGAAGTAGCCTTAGAAACAGGCTAGCTTTTGCTCATTCAAAATGTGCCTGAATGGGATGTACTCCATCGTTTGCTAACATAATCACCTTGAAACTCTTATAAAACCCTTTTCAGTGGTCACAACATCACAAACATACATGTCCCAACTACCCAACAAGCCAGCTTGCAAAACTGATCTATGTATTGTGTAAACAGCTTTGTGCCTTGATAATGTTAGTAAACTTGGTATATTCTGTAATCTTGTCAATGGTGTCTTTGTTGAAATTTGTTTTTTTTTTTTGTTTTTTTTTTTAAAGTTGGGGCATATTATAGAGGAAACAAGATGAATATAGAAGGGAAAAAGACTTTGTGCAACAAAGAACTCTTCAGTATTTCACTTTATTGCCTTGTATGTTTTTGCTCTGTGCTATAAAAAGCCTACATATTGTTTCATTGACGAGTCATTGAATTTTGAATTCCAGAAACAAACAATGAGCTCACTAAAGAAGTTGGCGGATATGAAAACATTGTGGTTCTGAGGAGTATAAAAGTTGTAGATGGAGATCTGGTTGATGTACTGGATCAGATTCCACGAGGAACGGTTCCTGGCGATTGTATCTTTCATGATTAGTTGTTTTGTTATTGTGCTCTGAGTTTTATGCTTGGTTCTAAGTTTTTGAAGGGTTTGACTGGTTCTTCAGAAATCTTTTCACAAAATACCTTTTCGGTATGTTACATGGACTCAGGTACCCATGTCCGACACCAGTACGTGTCCAAGAGTCCGACTCGGCTATTTTGTGAAAAAATTTCATGATTTTGAAGTTTGAACTAAAGTGAAGTGTCCAAGTGTCACACCCATGTTTTAGTGTCGGGGGTCTGACATGGGTACTTGTAGTGAATCCTATATATTTGACTTAGTTTAATTTACTTTACTCCTCTTTTTTGCCTATGCGTTCTTGTGCTTTCTGTTAGTTTCGCTGCCAAATCAACCTTCTGCATCTGCTCCACCCAATTTTAATAGTCAGGCACTTGTGATAGTTACCTAAGCATGAATCTAAATGGATAAATTCGTCAATCCATAGTAACAAGGGTGGTTAATCTTTATTGATGATTGATAATATATGACTATTTCTCCTTGTTTCTTCACCCAATTTTGTCATTTTACTCCCGGTACTTTCGATACAGTTTGATTGGCCCCTGGGGTAGGAGGTTTTGTCAATGTAGCTGTTCTCAGCTGTTGTTGCTCTTAGGAATCAGGATAGAGTCAGTAGATGAGTAGACTAGTTTTTTTTTTGCTTTGTTGTAAATTATATTTGATTGTATAAGTGCTGTTGTTATATACATTCTTTTGATTATATGTTTGAGGCCTTGACTTTATTGTTAGTTCTTGATGCAATTATTGTTGGTATGGATATGCTAATAAAGAAGTATGGACCAACTAACAAGGGAAAGAAACGCCTTTGCCTAATCACTAATGCACTCTCTCGTCTGAGAGATCCATATGAAGGCACAAAAGAAGATCAAGTCAGCACTATTGCTCAGCAAATGACTGAGCAGGCTATTAAATTGGAATGTGTAGTAGTTAGAGGGAAGCTAAGTGGTGATGCTGATAAGAACGTTATGGATGAGAATGACAAACTATTAGAACTTTTCACAAAGAAAACTTGGGCAAAGACTCTTTATGTTGAAAGTGCAACTTCGTTGTTAGGAGCACTCAGGACTCGGAGCATAGCCCCTGTTACAATATTCAGGGGTGATCTTGAAGTGAGCTCTGCACTGAAGATTAAGGTATGTTACCTTTCATGGTAATATGGTTGAATGCAGTTAGATATTATTCTCTATAG